AGACCACGTTTTGCTCCATCAACCATCAATTGCAGCAATATGTTACTCTCTTCAGTTGACCAAGTTTTATTTTCCTTTCGCTTACCATTCTCTTGTGAATCTTCCATCTCTATGATAGTATACAGTCAATCATAAATCAATTTACATCATACGTGAAAAAAGACAAAAATCATACTCCCTCCGTCCCTAAATAAACTTCCTTTTTTTACTTTTTGAGGATTTAAGGGAGGGATATTTTTGTGTTGACTTTTCAAAAATACTCTTGATGTGATGTATAAAAGTAAGATGTGATATGTAGATTATTAGTAAAAAGGTATGATGTGATACATAGGGTATGAAAAAGTAAAGAGTAAAAGGGGTTTTTTAAGGGAAAATAAAAGTTTATTTGGAGATAAAGAAAAAACGAAAGGGGAAATTTATTTAGGGACGGAGGGAGTATAAACTATTCCTATTTCCCAAAAATCAAGGGGAAAACATGTGTTCAAGACTCCTCAACTGGCATGGTAGACTCAACTTTTTATATTGTTTTTTAAAAAGTTCATAACATTAAGCCCTCTTCTTGAGGAGTGTAATTCAACTTTTTATATGGTTTTTTAAATATATACGAGTAAAGTTTATTTTTAAATTACACTCATATTCAAATAAATTGAAATGCAAAAGTAGTGAGTAGTAAACAATAAGAATCACAACCCTACATGGTTTGGTTTAATGACAAGGAAAGTGGGAGATAGACTTAGAACTCCATAGAACAAGCTGCAATCTCTCCTCATCATAATAAAAAAAGTAAATACTCCCTTGTTTCTTAAAACCCTTCCTCTTTCATTTTTTTGTTTTTCTTAAAACACTTCCCCTTTCTATTAAAAAACCACTTTTACCCCTACTTTTTCATACCCTACCTATCACATCATACTTTTTCACTAACAACTAAACTATCACATCTTACTTTAATTTAACACTTCCTTATTTTCCCTCAAAGTCAAAAGAGGAACTCTTTTGAGAAACGGAGGTAGTATTTTTTTCACCTTTCATCATAATGGTCAAAATTCTGGCAAAATATTTTGGTGAAAACTATAACAAGGCATATCATTCGCTTTCATCACCTGAATAAAAGATACACTTTCATTCTAAGACAATTCTTTCTTAATACTAAATTCATTTTTAAATAGTGATATTGCCTAGATACTAACGGAAGCAAAACAGGTCATTGAGTGTCCCTAAAGTATTCAAAACAGAGAAATTTTGCCTCTCGTTTAAACATGAATTTGAATAGTGTGCCTCAGAATTGCTTGGGGGATCAATTTCTCACTTGCCAAAATGAAAAAATGGAATGAAGAATTTTTGTAAAAGGTACAGTTCCCCATTTCTAATCAATGAGGAATTTCTTTTACTCGAATTCTGGGTACGTTGCTACATGATAATCAATGGTTCATAGAAGAAACTCACATGGAATCCGACAAACACGACTAGACGAAATCAAACGAAAAAGCAAGCAATTCCTCCTAGATTTTTGACAAAAAGGTATTAATTCAGGTAAGATTGGTCACATCATTATCGGACTGTGACTATCCCCGATTTCTATAAAAGCAGCAAATAAATCATGCAAGATAGAGTAGTAAAAATGTTAATCGGTGTAGAAAACTCGTTCGAAGTATCTAATTACTCCTAGATTTTTGACAAAAAAATTTATAGATATTAAACTCACGGCGAAAGCCCACAAGTTATATTTGATATCATAAACCATAATGAATAAGAATAAGAGAAATGTTAGGCTCACAAATAAAATGCTCACAAATATACCATTTGTGAAGTTGAAATGGTATATTTGTAAACTTAACTATTCTAAAAGTGAATTTAAATTGCAAATGATAAATTTTTGAAGTTTGTAACCATTTTATTTTTGAATCTAGCGTTGCTCTAAAAATAATTGATTATCTAACTAAGAATCTTTTGAAAAATCAAGTTACAATTGTCGATACACTTTGATTTCCATAACATTGAGATTCAATGTCATGGAATGACCCGAGGTTCATACGATATTTTGTTCGAAAAATTGATGGTTCCTACCCCCTAAGCCTCCTGGTAAACCCTCCACCCCCGGCTTGGCCGTAACATTAGGCCTGGCCATAACATGTCACCCGAACCGCCCCCTTGTCGATGAGCATTTAAATGAAAGGAAAACTTTAATTGCCTCAACAACAAATAAAATGTTTATTTTATACTCCGTAGAACATTACTTTTATTTCGTATATAGTAAAAAAATTCCAAGTCAAATAACAAGCATGTTCCATTTTATCAAATTGAGAAAATTTGATGAGTCAAAGTGCTTAGATGAACAGTTCCAAAAGTTAAAAGTGGACAAAGACAATGGGACGGAGGTAGTATTTTTCATTATAAAATTATTACTTTCAATTCCAAACTTTGTAAAAATTTATGTCTATACCACAAAAATTACTATTTTCCATTAATAACTTTGTAAAAATATTGGACATATTTGTGTTTGTTTCCATGTTCTTCTGCCTTCATGCAATTTTGCTGCTAAACATGCCTAACTTTTATTTTCCTTCTCTGGTTTTGTTTTTATGAAGGAGCGAATGGATATAACCAAATGTATCAATGCTTCTTCGGAGCTTATGAAAACAATTGTTGGTGTAAACCACACTTAATTCCAACAACAATCCACAAAAATATCCTATGATATGGAGAGGATAATATGCACTATCTCAAAGTAAAAAAAATTTGACTTAAAAAATCAAACTAAAAAGATTCAAAAGAATAAATTATTCTAAATAGGAGTAAAACGCAGTCTTTATCTCTAAAATAGGACTGACATATTTTAATCCCAAAAACATCCTTATATCTTAAATAAGAGTGACATACTTCAATCTCCAAAATAGGACTAACATAATTTGGTATTCTACTGTCTTTTTTAATATTCTTACATTCTGATATTATCGACATTATAACTTTTATTATAAAAATAAAAATATTAAATTTTTATTTAAATATTTTCTTTTTATTTTATTCAATTTAGTTTTTTGGGGACCCGGGAGTAAATTTTTTTTTAGAGATGCGGACGGAAGATATACTTGGTAGAAGAGTACTCCGTAATACACTTTACTCAGCAGAAGCTCAATGACATCGAGAAAGTATCAAAATAAAACTAAAACATAAAAAAATACCAAAATAGGAGTTACATGTTTTTATTCTCTAAAATTCATTCACTAGGAGGTTCAAAGAAGAAATAATTTTGTGTACTCGTCCCACAAGATGGAGTATTTCCAATTGTCGCGCATTTGGACACCTCTGCATATTCCGTAACCCCTACATCAAAAAACGGAACAAGATAAGAAGAAAAAACAAGAAGTTCGACATTCAAGCATAATTGAAGGAAGGAACGCATAAAATGACATTGACCCAAGTCGCCTAACCATAATTTTAGGTAATATTTTGACCATGAAAATGAAGTAAAAAAATGTTTTCCCAAAAACATATTTCAAGATTGCATAACTTTGGGCAAATGTTCAACAAGCACAAAAATGCAAAAATCTTTTTAATATCCCGGAAATAAAATTTTGATATATATCCTGAGTAGTTCCACATTCAGTGCAGGCAAAGCTATGGTGAGAGTCTGTTTATAGATTCTTCAGCTTAGGAGCATCAACGAACAATGCAATTCGAAAAGCTTCCATTCTAGCACGGAATTCAACATGTTCAAAACAAAGTGACGTGACAATGCGAATATTGCACGAGGAATTTTGTGTGCCAATAGAGAACGAACGCAGATGTAAGCTCGTGAGTGTCGGGCATGAATATATGCAATCTGGGAGCATGTATTCTCTATTCTCAAAACGAAGTTCGACTTCTTCAACACCTCTCCGCATGACTAAATGCAGCCACTGATCTATGTCGTATGATCGAGACCTAACGGTTTGTTTCCCAACACCGGAATGAGGAAAGACAAATGTGTGGATAGATCCCTTGTGTTGGAAGATAACTTTGTCGACTCCATCGAAACATGAGGATACCCTGGTATGTTCACTAGCCTCTTCTCCAAATTCGTTAACAAGATGGTTAAAGAAGTGATCATTGAAACGTAGCTGCGTGAGATTGGACCACACATCACTTTAAATTACTGTGTATAATACGTGGGTGCTTCTGCTTATTTACTTATTGCTTTGACTTATAAGTTGCTTAAAAGTTGAAAATACTTTCGTGTAGAAAGAATGACATAAGTCATTTGGGGAAATGATAATATGTGAGGGATTGTTTTGTTTGTAATCTGCTCAAAACAAAGAAATGAAAAAATGACTTTAAAATAAGTTGGTAAAACATACTCCGTATTTATTTTTGGGTGAGAGTAGCTTATAAGCACAGATAAACATGTCATACATTCATATCGGATAAATTTAGACCTAATTAATTTAGACCAAAACTTGATAAATTTAGATCAGAATCAATCGGATTGAGAACATACCTCTAACCCGACTTTTTTGAAACTGGTTGATTCCACGGGTCATCGAGTCAGACCAATCATGACCATTTTTTAGAGTAAAGCCTATTTTGTTAATGCATCATGTATCATGTATGTATGCCTTGGGTTTTAAGGGTGAAAAAAGGGCCGAAGTAAGAGTAAAACTTTGAAAGTATACAAAAATAAGTGATCTATATTTTTATTTTCAAAATACTCTCTCTGTCACAAATAAACTTTTCGTTGCGCGTTACGATGTTTGACTGAAGTAATTTTCAAACCATTTTATATGAAAAATGGTGTAGAATTTAAAAATAAAAATTACATATTTAAAAACCATATCAAAAAATCTACAAAACTAAAAGTGACATGACTATATAATTTTTTCAAATAGGTGACGAAAATAGGCCAACAAAGTAAATAATATTTGACCATGTAAATAGTTAATAGAAAATTTATTTGTAGACAAAAAAAGGAGTAGAAGTTAAAAAATAATTATAATATCAATCATGACCATTTAAAAACTCTTGGTGCCAGTGGGGTGGAACGAGTGTGCCCCCTATCGGCTTATCTTCTTCGCCCATCTCGGGTGAGTTACAGCTTCTTTTCAAACCCAATCGATTGTGTTGCGTATCTATAGATGTGTTTCCCAAGCTCAGACTGTGTCCGATTTCAAATTATTTGCACAATTTCACCCTCTCATTCAATAAATGCCACCGATAATTGCTTTGAGACATCGACAGATCTTTGGAATATGCTCTTACTATATATTGTCTTGAGTTAATTATAGTATGATTTGGTTGTTTGGTTCAGTTCTTTTGTGTCTGCTTCATAATTTTAGTCAACTTCGCCAATTTTAGGGTTATGTCTTGGCTGGCTTTAATCCCTTTGTTGTTGTTTTTTTGCACATGATTTAGAGCCATCTGAATTGTTATGGCGGGAGAGAGATAGAATCAGCCAACTCCCCATAGAGATACTCGACCATATTATGGGACTCTTGCCTATTCAACAAGCTGCTAAAATTGCAGTTTTGTCTAAGGTTTGGAGGGATGCGTGGTCCGGGCTCACGCGGTGTTGCTTCGACCATCACTTCTTTCTCTATTTTGAAAACAGACCTCGGGAAGAGGCTAACGAATGTATCGAGAAACCCTTGTGTTGGAATGTAATAAAAAAAGTTATCTTGGAGCACAAGGGGTCTATCCGGAAATTTGTCTTTCTTTTTTCATCTTTTAGGAAGGTAAATGTTAGGTTGCAGCCATGTGACCTAGACGAGTCGTTACTTTTAGTCACACAACGAGGCGTTGAAGAAATCCACCTCTCTTTTGGGTTTAACGAATACAAGTTGCCGGAGTGTGTAACTTCATGCTCAACACTCGTGAGACTGTATCTGCAAGGGTTCTCTATTGACCCACAAAATGCCACATGGACTTTACCCAGTGCTACATCACTTTCTTTTGATTTTGTCTACTTCGGTACTAGAAATCTTTCGAACTATGTTTTTGATGTTCCTAAGCTGGAGAATTTGTCATTTATCAATTGCAAGGATGTCTTTCTCTTTGACATTACTACTAGAAATCTTCATAATTTGACGATCAATAGTTGTTATAGTAGCAAAATAGGCAGTTTTCTCCCGGTCAACATGGACTTGAAATCTATTTGCACTCTTGCTTTTGACATTGACAGTCTTCAGGTACTTTAGCCAGACACTTTCTTTTCGACTATGATCCTTTTATACTATCTTACTCCATACATTTATTGTGATCTAACTTCATTTCCATATGATTTCCTAGGATTTTTTTTGCAAAACTACTACAAAGGGACTCTCAATACAACTGCCCACACTAAATGTGGAACTACTCAAGCTATCAGGTTTTTGTTTTCAAGATAAAGCTGGGGTCTCTGCATTTGTTCGCTTGTTGTGCAAATGCCCAAAGTTACGCAGTCTTGAAATCAAATTCCAAACTGTGGTACGTACACTTTTCTTCATTTTTCGGGGTAAAAGATTTGGGCAATCTTTTTGTTGCATTCATGTTCATTCAATAATCTGCTCAAAGTACTTGATTGTTGCTCTTTTTCTTTTATATATAGTGTGATAAGTGGACAAATATTAACAAGTGTATGGATGAGGCGCGGGCAGTTGATAAAACTCAGTAGTGTTTTACGAAAACACAAAGTGCTTCTTTTTTTGAAGCTTCGCTCGTTCAAAGGATTGAGGCCCCAAATGCATTTGATCCAGGAGATGCTTGGATGGCTGCCCGCACTTGAAAAGGTTGTCATTATTGGTTGTCCCTATGTGTTTGATTGGAACAAGGAGCATGAAACTATGGAAGAAATTTTGCAATTCCCGCGTGCATCTCCGAAAGCTAAAATTGTTTGTAAATGAAAGGTTTATCTTTCCAAGTTGTCGTGATGGTAGATTTTAGTGGTAACTGATATGCGAAATGGTTGGAAGGTAACATTTTCCAGGTATGTGAGTTTTGTAGTAATGGCTTTTACATGCCAAATGGATGAGTTTTGAAATTTGAATCAAATGCAACATAAACCTGCTTTTGAGACATTTGATAAAGTGTCTCTTTAGCAACATTTTGAAAAAAATATCTAATAGTAGTGGTTCACTGTAATGTTCTCGAAGTTAATGTTATCCAAAAATCTATTTCTGACTGAAAACGTTGTTCCCAAACAAAGTTAAAAAAATGAATATTGGGATGAGCTTATTGGTTTGTTCTTATGCGTTCACCCAACCTAAGTGTCACTACGTATTTTATTTGTTGAATTCACACGGATTTTTGTGTGAATGGCTTTGAGTCTTTGACATGCAAAATGGATTTAGGATTTCAATACACTGAAAAAATAATTTGCGAAGAGCTGATGTGGAGGATTATAATTAGTTTTCCGATTTTACATCATTCATTTAACAATTCTTTTTCTTTTTTACACAACAATTGATTATCTCTTGCCCCATTAGAAAGTCGAGGTCACCAATGTATAAAGTTGTAATCTTTGCGTTCCACTCCTTCACAATTATAGTTTTATCAGATAAAAAAATTTGATTACCGTCCGCATCTGTATCTTTTTATACAAAAACATATTTTAATCTGTTTAAAGCGGTTATTTTATGTATTTGATTAGTAAATGTGTACCGATTTGGTAATCATACATCCGATATGTTTATAATTTGTTGTATATACATCTATTTGAGTAACTATTTGTCCGTGTATTCAATTTGTTAAAGATAATTTTCTCTCATTTTTTATTTTATAATTTTGTTTTTTCTATTAACGTCTCAAAGTATAAGATATTTATATATGTGAAGTATATGTGTAGGCACTTACTAATGTGTGTGTGTGTGGTATGTACTTTTTACCAGGAGTATTTTGAATTTTTCGTAGAATAGTATAGGTTATAAAAAATAAGAAGAGTATAACTCCTTAAAAAATTAAAATTGAATAAATATATTAAATATACTTATTTACTATCCGTCAAGATCCGTATCCAAATTTAATATTCAATAAAAATAAACATATACATCTTCTACACCCCCAAACAACTTGTTGCACAAGGCCACGTGGCTCCTTATCACAATGAATCTGTTATAGAGTGTCTCATTTTGGAATTTGTAGAGAAATTAAATCGGTATATAAGGTCTTGACTTGAACTAAGTAATCGATTGGATCCAATCTTCTAATGTGGTTCAACCAAAATGTCTTATTGCACAATCTAGTTGAACTAAGTAATCGATTGGATCCAATCTTCTAATATGGTTCAACCAAAATGTCTTATTGCACAATCTAGTGATTCCTACCCCATCTTAAGTTTTATCATGGTATTACAGCCAGTTCTAGCCCACCTCGTTTGTTGAAATGTCTCTTAGACACTCATTTCTAGCGGCCCCAGTCTTTAGCCCAGTTGTCCATGTGGAGTGTATATCCAACGGCCTCTAGCATTTTTAACCCAATTACTCGTCTAGAAGTCCAAATCCAGCGGCTCGTGATCCTTTAGGTGTTGGCGCTTAAAAAAACAAAGGGATGCGAGTTCATTTGCAAATGGTCAACTAGTTAGATTCACAATTGCCGGTCATCCACTCGAGGAGGAGTGTTAAAGAGTGTCTCGCATCAAAACTTGTAGAGATCAGTATATAAGCTCTTTAGTATGTTGAACTATGTAATCGATTGGACTCAATCTTTTAATATAGTTGATAAGTCGGATTTGGGTTAGTTCTTTTTATTCTTTTTTAGGCATTTTTAATATTTTTAGAGTTTAATTTTTAGCTGTTTAACTTAGTTTTATTTTAAATCTTATTTTTACATTCTTTTCATTTTCTTTCAAAAATAGTAACTTTTTAATCATTTTTTTACATTTTATTATTTTTATTTTATTTTTTCTAACCCAAATTATCAGATATGTTATTTTTTAGAGAAAAAATAGCAGAAGGCCGAAATGCAGCTCAAGTTTGAAAAGAAAAGATTGGAATTGGGCCAGAGCCCAAATGCATCATCAACATCAAAGCCCAAACCCAACATAATCCTTGACCCCTCAAAATTTCTAATTTGCGCAAGAAATTAGAGAGTGAGCAGCGACTTCTTCTTCACCGCAGCGAATACCATCTCCAAATCGACGCTCCAACGTCTCTCCCTGAAATTCGCTTCTCATTTACACTCCAACGGAAAAAAAACCTTTTGGCTATAAATTGCGCCATCGCTAAACAAGGAAGAAGGGGGAACATCGACGGGAATAAAGCAGCGGCTTGGCCGCTGCTATGGTGGCCGGCGTTCGACGATGGCAGCGGCGGCAGTAGCTCCGGCGACGGCTGTGGTCGAGGGTGGACAGTCTTCTTCAAGCTCCAATTTCTTCAATTTCATCTTCTTCTTCATCAATTGGTAACTCTGTATTTGTCAATTTTTTTTCTTCTCCAATTTCTGTGTAAAAGTGTTGTTTCAATTCAAATTTACACTTTTTTTTTCCTTGTGTGAATTTCAAAAATTCCAAAATGGTTGTGTTCTTTTATGGTTAGTTTCTTCAATTTTGCGCAAATTGATGTTAAATTGGTTGAATTGTAAATTTGAATTCATAAGTAGGTTGGTATGTCGAATTCGGTTATCATTGAAACTAATTTAGCTACATATTTTAGTTAAATGATTTTCGAATTCATACGTGAATCTCTTTTGTGACTTGTGTTTTGTAAAATTTTAAGGTAAATGAACTTCTTAGCCACATAAGTTGAACGTTTTCCTTAAGATTCGTTATAAAGTGATTGTTTATGTCTTGGTGTTCTTGTTTGTTATTTTCATAAAAATTGGGATTGTTTAAGCGCAATAAACAACTCTTGATTTAATGAAAATATGTAATGTTTTTCTTATGTGAATAGATTAAAATTCTTATACTTAAGTTGTTCAAGGAGACTTGCAAAATATTTTCATCATTAGACGTTAAAGTTTATTAAAGTGTATCAAATGTTCTTCATGAATACTTTGTGCATGGGAGTTAGAATGAAAGAAAGATTCGCTCTTTTATAAACTTTTTCATCTTTTGGAATCATTATTTGAGCGCTTGAGGTGAGTGGGGGTTCAAAGTGATCCAAAAGGCCTTTGAATCTTTGACTCCAGGCCTTATAGAGAGTTGACGATCCTCTATATGTGGTCAAGGATATGAATCAACTCGAGCCTTTGAATTTTTTTCTATTTTTAAGTGCGTAAGTTACGTAATATATTGTCTAAGTGGCCATTATACGTGTAATGTTCAATTTGTGTTTGTTTTCTTTTTCATTTTGTTTTGGGTTCTTGGCGGTGTTTCTTGGGTTACCTTAATTGGAGAAGTTGATTATCTTTTGAGCTTGTTTTCCCCCATTTAATCAAAAAACCAAAAAAATAAGAAAATATAAAAAACCAAAAAATATTTACTTTTTATTCAACCCCCCCCTTTGTGTTGTGTTTCAGTTATATTATAAGTTCTTTGTTTATATAAGTTATAGTTATAAGTTTTATTATAAGTTTTATACGTCTTATCATATGTGTAGTAGTTTTTTTTATTTTATTTAGTGACAACGTGTTTGCATACTAAATTGGTTTTAAAAAGTACAAACTTTCTCCGTGGGATCGACCCTTACTTGCCCTATCTATAGTTTTTATTTGATTATATTGGGGATTAGCTAAGGATATTTTATAAATTTTTAATTTGTTTTGGACCGCACGACAAGTCCCCAACAGTAGTTCAGTCTAAATATTTTATTGCCCAATCCAGTGATCCCTACCCCATCCTAAGTTTTATCAGAATCCATTTGATAGCATCTCTAAAATTGCTTTGGACAATTAAATGGCGGCAAGCTTTATTACATGCTCGTTCAAGCCCTAGAAGTACGACATCGCACTCCATGTAGACTATATTATCAGAGTGAAATCTACTCATGAAGTAAATACTTGTGGGCTTTCCGAAGTAAATATTTTATTGGCTAAAATTCACCATTAGTTCTTCAACTTTGTGAGTTGTGCACAATTGGTCATTCAAGTTTCAAAAGTCCATATATAATCCTTCAAGTATTCGTCAACCTACAATTACAGTCTTTCAAGTTTCAAAAGTTTATAAATAATCCTTCAAGTATTCGTCAACCTTCAAATGTAATCATTCAAGTTTTAAAAGTTCATAAGTAGTCATTCACGTATTCATAAACCCTTCAAATGCAATCCTTTTTGCGGTACTTGTTAAAAGCTAAACAGAGTAGTAGCTCCATATATAAAACTTCCGACCTGCAATGGGTGCCAAATGCAACTAGCTCCATGTATATAACTAGCTCCATATATATTACTTCCGCTGCGGTGTCAAATGCAACTTCCGACCTGCAAGGGGTGCCTGCCGCTGGCCCCGTCCTCCGAGCAGCACATCGTAGTGTGTCCTTCCCTCCTATTGTAAATGCTGGGGATAAGTTTACTTTTAAAGGGGTTTGAATTGTGTAAAGAATACAAAATTTTAATTGGAATTGTGGGAACCCATTAGTTCTCTATACTTAAAAAACAATCATCTACGTATAGGTATAAGTACTACGCATTATATATATGGAGCTAATACTCTGTTTATCTTTTAACGTGTATCGTAAAAAAGACTGCATTTAGAGTTTGATGAAAACTTGAAGGACTACCTACGAACTTTTAAAACTTGAATAACTGCATTTGGAGAGTTGATGAATACCTGAAGAAATATTTATGGACTTTTGAAACTTGAAAGACCAATCGTGCATAACTTATAAAGTTGAAGGACCAATCGTGGATTTTAGCTTATTTTATTTATACATCGGCCTGTAATATCCCAAGCTCAACCATCTTTGTATACGCCTCTATAATATCTCTATTTTAAAACAAAAAAAAAGAATCATGCTTGGGGACTGGGGTACACCATTTGGTATACCCCATTTATACACCATCGATCATAACTATTAATTTTTTTTTTTTTAATTTTTTCCCACATTTGAGATTGTGTAGTGAAGATTGAGTGGTATACATTTAAGATACACTCATACACATATTTGTGTACCCCTAAACATTATTCAAAAATTAAACTCACACAAAGACAAAAAGATTAAATTCACACAAAGGACAAAATTGAACTTTAAAAAAAGTATATTTGCGGTTGGGACTGGGTAGAGTTCAAACATCTGCTCAAATCCGCTATTGCTCCCCTCAGTAGTCAGTACCACCTCCTAAGGGGTTCGGGCCGTTCGGCAGCGAGTTTTGGTAGTTCTCAATTCTCTCCAGAGTCTCAGTCGTCTTCCCCGGCCGTTCAAACTGCTGTTACAGGTTTTCGCCTATCCCACCCTATTTTGTGCCTCTGTGTATGTATATAGAAAGCGCCATTCATTGATTAATTCTATATTTGATGGTAATTAAGTCCGGCGCCTTTTCCGCTTTTCACAGTTACGTTTCATGATTCTGATCGCATCTTCAAATTGTGTCCGAATTCATAGCTTCCGCTGTACTTTATTTTCATGATTTCAACCCTTTGTCCCAATTTGACGATCTGTGAAAAAAGAAATTGTTTTGAATATAGAGACAAGCTTTGGTTACTTGGTCGATCTTGAACGTGTGTGCTTCATTTGATCTCTTGAATTCCACCAATTTTACTGTTTTAGGGTTATGCCTTTGTTGTAATCCATTTGTTCTTTTGCCAGATTTGTTATGGCCAGAAGTGTGGTCGGGTGTGAGGCAGATGCTAGGGATCGAATCAGCCAACTCCCGGTAAAGATTCTGGACCATATTATGGGGCTCCTGCCTATTCGGGAAGCTGCTAGAACTGCCGTTTTGTCTAAGGTTTGGAGAGATGTGTGGTTCAGTCTCACGCACCTGTGCTTCGATAATCTATTCTTTAGTTATTTTCATGGAAAATATATGAAGCCCAGTGACGATCTCGGGGAATATTCATGTTTGTATGCAATCAACAAAGTTCTCCTGCATCACAAGGGATCTATCCGGAAATTTGTCTTTCTCCATTCACGTGTTGAGAGACTAACCGTTGGGTCGCTGTCATTCCACATGCCTAAGTGGCTGCTTCTAGTCACACGAAAAGGTGTTGAAGAGATTGAACTTCATTTAAGGGGTGAAGCATACGAGTTGCCGGTGTGCTTATTTTCATGCTCAACACTCACGAGATTACATTTGTGTTCCTTGTCTATTGAACCACTAAGTTCCCCTTGCACGTTACCAAATGTTACCTATCTTATCTTTGAACGTGTTTGCTTTGGTATTAGAAGTCTTCCAAACTGTGTTGTTGATGCTCCTAAGCTCAAGAATCTGTCTTTTTTGCATTGTGAGGATGTGTTTCACTTTAACATTACTGCCAGAAATCTTTGTACTTTGAGGATAAATGGTTTTTATGGTAGCAAACTTGGAATTTTTCTCCCGGCCAACTTGGACTTGAATTCTATTAGCACTCTTATCATAGACACTCGCATTCTCGAGGTATGGTAGCTTGACTTAATCCTTTGGACTATGATCAATTTATAATATATCACTCCATACATTTGAAGGGATCTAACTTCATTTCCATATGGTTTCTTAGTATTTTCTCGGCCGATATACTGCAAAGCAATTCATGCTTCAATTGCCTTCACTGAATGTGGAACAACTCAGTCTACGGTTTCTTTGTTTCCAGCATGATGTTGCAGCTTCTGCATTTGCTTGCTTGCTGTGCAAATGCCCAAAGTTATGCCATCTTGAAATTTGTTTTTTGGTAAATATTTCTTACTTCATTTCCATGGTCAAATTATTGGCTAAAATTATCGTTAGGTCCATGCTCTACTGCCTTTTTCTTCTTTCAATTATGCTGGAAAAGCTGAACTGTTGGTTTTTTCTTCTTGTTTTGCTTTAATGTAGTGGGTGGGGGATAGAAACAAGTGTATAGATGCTACATCGAAGCATTTGAAAAAACTCCGTAGTGTGGCACGAACACACAAAATGCTTTTGTCTTTGAAGCTTAGCTATTTCGATGGATCGTGGTTCCAAATGCATTTCATTCAGGAGATGCTTGCATGTCTTCCCGCATTTGAAAATGTTGTTATTGATGGAAATGGTTTGAACAAAGAACCTGAAGCTATGGAAGAAATTTCACGTTTTCCGCGTGCATCCGCGAAAGCTACTATTGTTTTTCAATGAATGGTTATCGTCTCCAAGTCGAATCTATCGGTACAGATCACTTTTGTTTTTTGTGGAATGGTAGAAAGGCAAATTTTCCATTTTTTTTACTAAGTGCTTTGAGCCAAATGGATCATTGGTTTTGAGATTCTGGGTTTAGAGCAAATACTGTGAGGAGCTTATTCAGCAATGTGTCAACTTTACATATTTGTGTCGCTACATACTCGGTAAAATTCACAATGACTTGAAAAATGTTATAAAAAAATTGTTGAAATGGGCTTGTTTTTTTTAAAAAACCAAGCTTAGGTGTCATACTTTCATATAATGTCACCGGTCAAACTGAGCCACCTACGGTGTTTCAATGGGAAAAATGATGGTTCTCACTTCATAACCAACCTAACCACCTCCGCATACATCCAATTGCACCGAACAAAATTTGTTGTCTTTGAATCAAAATTTGTACTTCAAAGTCCAAAGTCACATCCCTAAAATCTCACCTTTTTTATAGTGTGAAAAAGTTTTATGTTTACTATTTAAATTATAAGTGAATTTGTATTCATTCATGTATCCACCTTTAATTTTATCACCCGAACAAGATGATTATGTTATTATTCTCTATATTGTTATACTATGTAACAAATAGGTGCATTGTGACATACTCCATATATTCTTAAGTAAACATTGATATTACTAAAATTGATTTTTTTATTCTTTCTTACACCATAGTCACAACAATGTCATTTGGATTTAATTTTAGGCCACCTTAGGAGACAGAAGAGAGATGTAATTGGAGGGGGATGTTTTGAGGAAAACGCAACAGAGTGTTTTTAGCCCAATGGCAACGTGGGAGACGGCGTGCGGGTGTTATCTGGCGCCATATCCGGCTACCTCAGCCTGATCGCGCCCACTAGAGATGACATGCTCTTAGATATGGCAAAGCATTATACCAAAGACACTTAAACATAAAGTCAAAATGATGATCAATGGCACCCCATATCAGTAGGCAAAAATTTATTAAAAGGTGAATGAAGAGGTAGCCAACATCACTTAATATGAGCAACATCAAAGGTTTCTTCTCCAAAAAAATTAATCAACGAAAGTCACAAAATAGAAGTTTAACAATGTTAAGAACCTTTGGAAAAACACAAATCTTGAGTTGAATAAATACAACATCCCACAACGTATATGATACGGTGTATATGGGTAAGAATTCTTGACATTGAAAATATTGACATTAAAATGATCTAGGCATTTACGGTACTCTGTTGGTAAAAGTGATAAATGAGACAGCGGGAATTTCTAAGCAAACGGGGGATCCTTCTTATGCAGAAGTTGCAGCTGGACTGGTTGATTTGGATCTTCATTTCATCCCGATGACCGAGGTAAATGGAAATGTAGTTGCCTTATTCACAACTGATTACTGGAATTCTTCAATAGTTTGTTGTATCTTAGGTGCCAATCCACCATTGGAAATGGTAAAGGGTTATGTCAATCGTATATGGAATCTATTTCCTATAGACAGTATGGAGGTATTAAAAGAAGGAAAGTTTATAGTGACCTTTAATAAAGAAGAAGACATGAAAGAAGCTATTAAAAGGAAGTATTATTATTTTGATAATAAGCACGTTCCGGTCCAGCAGTGGAAGCATGGGAAAAAGATTAATGTTGAAAACCTGACAGATATACCTATATGGGTTTAATTTCATGATTTAAATGTGAAGTTTACTAATATTGTTGAGAATGTTTGGAATCTAGAATTAGAAGGAAGACATATGTGGCATCTGATTAGTAAGCTTAAAATCTAAAAAAACTGATCTTAAGAGACTGATGAATAAGGATAAGTTCTCCTCCATCTTCCGACGTCTTGGTCCATTTGGCCTTGGAGACTTCGTTCGGAACCGGAGCCCATTTCGGGTGCCCCGACAATATTTCCCACACTTTGAAATATGCAAAAGAGGTATTATATTGCCACGGGTACTTTAACAACGCCGATCTTAGAACGTCATTGTCTCTTATCGCACTTTGCCGAGTGAGGCCGGTGGAGTTGTAGATACCGACGAACTTGTTGAGTTTTGTATTCAAGTCGTGGTACTTAGAGGAGATAGCATCGATGCGGTGGTAGGGCTCTAGGTTCATCAGCGTGTGGAATGGATTAGTGACCCTACACCAAAAGCTGTCTGCGATTTGGACATTCTTTAATTGCGAAATAAAACGAAAAAAATGTTAAGAAAAAAGATTAGAAAAAAAAAATTGTATAAATTAGTACGTAAATTTTTTGGGGAAAAATGAACCTTTAGTCGGACCTTCAGAAACGTTCACCCACGTCCCGACCAACGCTTCCTTCTGCGTCGGCGGTCACGCAAGCTTCGTCCCCTGACTCATCAAACCGTCTTGGCACACGACCTTCCGTTTAGAATTTCGGAAAGATTGCATCTCCGGAACATTCTCAACACCGTTCTCCAAGAGGAGTTTCGGGCTTGTCGTTCCCGAGACTTGTTGAGAATTTCCTAAAAATTATCGTTGCCACTCAAGAAATTGCAAATAGGAAGGATTAATAATGTGATTTTAAAAAAATGTTTAGGGAGGGAATAATTTGTATATGAAAGAGGCAGAGAGAAAGTGTAAATTTTAAAGGGGTATAATGAATTAGAAAAAAAATGAAAAAGATATGTGGTGAATTTATTTTCTTTCTTTACATATTTTTCATGTTACCTCTTTGTATTTTAAGTATATTTTAAACATAAATTTATTTTCAATTTTTAGACCAATTATTAAATATATTATAAATAAAATTAATTTCACTCAAACATCATAAACCAGTAAAAAATCATGGGCAGAAGTACATGTTTTAAAACAATATCAAATATTCTAAAATTATACCAAATGTTATATAAACCAAAATACAAAGTATGACATTACTATGTTACGTTAACAACTAATTAAAGAAAATAATTAAAGAAAAAAATGGATGTGAATCTTTTAAATACTATTGACTCGATTGCAACGTAATGCTCATATTTGTTTATATGTTTTTCAATATAATGACGCCAACATGTGGACAAAGAAGATGAAGAAGAAGAATAAGAAAAAGGAAAGTCACTTAGTGTATTTTCTTAAATTTATTGTGACAAAGAGCAATTCACACAAAATTGACATAAAAAATAATCCATCTGTTTTTTAAAACACTTCTTTCATTTTTTTCACTTTTCTCAAAACATTTCCACTTTCTATTAGAAAACCAACTCTACTCCTACTCTTTATAACCCTAGCTATCACATCATACTTTTTCATTAATATATCACATCTTACAATTACCTATCACATCAAAGACAAATTGAAAAGTCAACTATAAATATACTCTTTATTTCACTCATTAGTCAACTTAGAAACTACTCCGTATTTTTAGAAATGGAGAGAGCATATAACTTCCTACCATTTCACATCTAAGTAATCCCTACAACCACGATATAAGTGATCAGTGCAGGTAAAATTCAACTTGGAGTGACATTGTGACAATCATTCATTGATAAACAATTTTAGCTTTCACAGATGCACATGGAAAACGTGCGATTCTTTTCGAGGTTTTACGTTTTTTGTTCCAATCAAAGACCGAGGAGGGATCACCAGTAATAACAACCTTTTCAAGTGCGGGAAGACATGCAAGCATCTCCTGAATGAAATGCATTTGGAGCATCGATCCATCGAATGAGCTAAGCTTAATATAAGAAAGCATCTGGTGTGTTCGTGCCTCACTACGGACTTTTTTCAATTCCTCCGATTCAGCATCTATACACTTGCTTTTATTCTCCACCCGCTACATTGAATCACAACAAGAAGAAGAAAAACCAACAGTTTAGCATTTCAAGCAGAACATGGGCCTAACCATAATTTTAGCCAACAATTTGACCATGAAGATGAAGTAAAAAACACCCCATATTTACCTTAAAAACAATTTCAAGTTTGCATAACTTTGGGCATTTGCAGAGCAAGCAAACAAATGTAGAAGCTACACCATCCCACTGGAAATCAAAATCTGATAGCTTGAGTTGTTCCACATTTAGTGAAGGAAATATTTGCAGGAATCCCTTTGTAATATAATGGCCATAAAAATACGAAGAAATCATATGGAAAAGAAGTTAGATCACTTCAAATGTATGGAGCAATATATTAAAAATAGATCATAGTCAACAAGTAAAGTCTAGCTAAAATACCTGGAGAGCACTATAGTCTAATTCAAGAGTGCAAATAGAAGAAAGCATGTCCAAGTTGTCCGTGAGAAAACTTTGAAGGTAGCTACCATAACGACACATTATTGTCAAACTGTAAAGATTTCGGGCAGTAATGTTAAAGTGAGGCACACCCTCACAATAGAGAAAAGACAAATCCTTGAGCTTAGGAACATGGACATCATAGTTTGGAAGATTTCGAGTACCAGAGCGAACACCAACATTTCTAGTACCAAAACAAACGCGGTCAAATAGAAGTGAGGTAACATTCGGTAACGTGCAAGGTGAACTTAGTGGTTCAATAGATAACGAGAACAAATGTAATCTCGTGAGAGTTGAGCACGAAAACACGCAATTCGGCAACTTGTATTCTTTACTGCTAAAACGAAGTTCAATTTCTTCAACGCCTTGTCGTGTGACTTGAAGCAGCCACCGAGACATGTGGAATGACTGTGACTTAACAGTTAGTGCCTCAACACCTGAGTGAAGAAAGGCCAATTTTCGGATAGATCCCTTGTGCTGCAGGAGAATTTTGGTGATTACATACGAACACGAATAATCCTCGACATATTCGCTACCCTGCGGATCTTTCTTACAAAAAAGGCTAAAGAATTGTTCATCGAAGCACAAGTGCGAGAGACCGAACCACGCATCTCTCCAGACCTTTGAGAAAGATGCAGTTATGGCAGCTTCCCGAATAGACAAGAGTCCCATAATATGGTCCACGATCTCGACCGGGAGTCTGCAGATTTTATCCATGGCATCTGGGTTACGCGGGACCAAACTTCTCGCCATAGCAATTCCGAAATTGGGGATCTTTATTATTAAAAAAAAAAAAGAGTTTTTTTTTCTTCAGGGATCGTCAAATGTGAGTTTCGGTTGAGATCCTGGGACGCAATTCGAACATGCAAATCAATGGGGAGGCTCCGATGCAGGGAGGATCAGAATCATCAAACTATGAAAGGCGGCGGCGCAGAAGGCACAAAATAGGTTGGGATAGAAGGTAAATTTACATAACATTGGTTTCCATGACACATGGGTGTTGTTAAATTTACATAAGTTCATCATCCAATGAGGAAGGTAAATGAGAAGGTAATATATCTTCCTTAATTTTGGAGAGATATATTTGCCTCCTCAATTTTGGAGAGGTATATTTTAGGAAACATATATCTTTGTTCTTCATTTACCTTTTGCATTGGAATCAAGAACTTTTTAAATAGGTATATCTACCTTTTTGATAAGGCAAATGAACAAAATACCTTCTCAATTTACTTTTTCCCTTTGGAGTTACTCTAAGGCTATAACTGCACAAAATAGGTTGGGATATTATATCAAAGAATAAATTCAACCAAAAAATCAAACTTATGAATCTTAACATACACCAAGGTATATCTCAAATCGTACATCAACCCTCTTTCCATATCATAAATTTTGGTGTGAATAAAAAAATTAAAATGTAAATAAGAAGTGTGTGATAGGAGAAGTGTTAAGTGAATTGTATAATTTGATATAATCCTAATATTGGTCTAAAATTAAATTTAACATCACTCCATTGTGAATTTGTTCTATTCAATTTATTTTTATTATTAATTTCTATTAATATGAGATCGAATCAGAAACAGCTATAAATATAATTACAATTAGATGCGACCAAATCAAATCTTAATAAAATCAAATAAGTTTCAATCATATGAGATGAACAAAACAAACTCATTGCCTTTTTGTGATAAAAACAAAGAAATCATTCTGAGTAAAAACATATTCTTTATCCCAAAAATAGAACTGTACTCTTGAGATTTGATTGAGGTTTATTCTTGTAAGGTGATAAAAATAAGGTTGTGTTTTTATTTTATTTTTATTACTTATTGTTATAGTGTATAAAGTTGTATTTTTTTCCCACAAGTTTTTAATGACTTCATATATCTATTTTACATTTTTTAAAAAAATGATATATGTTTAAATTTTTTAAAATTATTCATAATATTGTCAAATGTATCTAACAAGTAACTAAAAAGTGAAAATAAAGTCTTCTAATATCTTTATTAATTAGTGTATGGGGAATTTAACTAAATGATATTGAGACATAGTGACTTTTCTAATTTAGTATCATATATTTTTATTTCTCAATGTAGTATCATTGGTCAATATCCACTGGATATTGTTCAAACTAAATGTCTACCATCACTGAACATTGTTTCCGTCACTAGACATTATTCAAATACTATATAGGGAATAAAAAAGTTTAAGTGATACATTAGGAAAAGACATATATTTTAATATTATTTAGTGCAAATTTTACTTAATGTATACGAAGTACCCCGAGTGTAATTTATTACGGAGTATTTTATTATTTTTTTTAGTGCAAAATACAAGTGCTAGTAATATTTAAATAACAAAAATGCTAGGGGTACACCAAAAGTGTACTCCAAATATCCCCCACCCCCTACAGAACCACTAAAAAAGGCATGTAAAATTCAAAAAAAAAACAAAAACAAAAAAAAATACTCCCTAAGTGATAAAGAAGCATGTGGTGTACATTTGGACTTTGGAGTACACCTTTTGGGGTATCCCTAGCATCTCCCTTTAAATAAACAACAATAATCTCCCAACAAGGAAAATGCTAGGGGTACACCAAAAGTGTACCCCAAAGATCCTCCACTCCTCCATAACCACAAAAAAAAAGGCATGTAAATTCAAAAAAAATAAAAAATAAAAACAAAATAAAATGAATGGTGTAGAGGCATGTGGTGTACACCTTTTGGTGTACCCCTAGCATCCCCCAGAAAAATGCTAGGGGTACACCAAAAGTGTACCCCAAATATCTCTCACCCCTCCATAACCACAAGAAAGGGCGTGTAAAATTCAAAAAAATAAAAAAAGCAAAATAAAATAAATGGTGTAGAAGCATGTAGTGTACATTTGGTGTACACCAATGTACCAATGGTGTACCCCTAGCATCCCCCGTTAAATTAATATTAAATTTTTCGTTTAATTTTTTATTAAAAAGATTCACATTGCCTACTAAAAAGATTCACATTCAATAGATGTTTGAAATAAAATTTATAATTTTTTTTATCATTCAATATTGTTGATTAAAAAAACAAGGGGTGTTGCCCTTGAACCTCCTACCAATGGTGCCCCAAACTAGCTGAATTCGTAGACCTGTCATTGGGGATAATGTTATCAATTTTTTGAACGAAACACCGTAAGACTCTTAATTTGATTGGTGCCATAATATGACACTATAACCTTTTCGTTTTATAATATATACTCTCTTTTTTAACATTCCGAAGAGAAAATAAGCAAATATTGTTTAATGTGGCATGATTAATGTCTTCCACATAAGACATGTCTGCAAAAGAAACATGCCTCCTAAGGAACATGTTACATGCTTCCTAAACAAAATAAAAGGAACCAAATTTGTGCCAAAATTCAACATGAGAGCAAGGCCAACCATAGCGTCCCCAAGTGTGATTCCTTACAAGCTGGAATGAGTAAAGTGAGCTAACCATGAAGAAGAAGTTTTCCAAATACAGAGTACAACGCAAGAACTTCTGAACAGTCTTGAGATTGATGTCCCGCACTCCCATATTGAACTTCTCAAGCGTTGGAAAGGCGGACAGGAGACCTTCGACCCAAAGCAGCGAATTCTTGGACGAAATTATGAAAACCTCATCATAGCTCAAACTCAAAGTGTGAAGAGAGTTGAGTGTTTGAGCCACATGATAAAGTTCCTTCCAGAGTTTTGACCGTGTCTTTAAGCACTCAGATATCGATTCGAGAAACTACACGAAAAAGGACCCAAGTGAATTAAACTAAACAATCACTAAAACTCACAACAAGGCTGCGTTAATGGATCATAAAAATTTGATGGGAAGCAAATACGAGTATTGTGAATAATCTGTGTAGGGAAATAAGATTAACCATGATTGTATGTGTATTTCGCGCAATTTCGGGCATACTTGCAGCAAATGAATGAATGCAGAAGAGATATCATAGTCCACTGAGAAAAGATCATCTATGTCGCAACCTAATGGGTTTTCTCGCAACCTCAGGCATTCAACATTTAGCTCACTTGGCTGAACCAGCTTCCCCCTTCTAACCAAGGGCCCGAAAAAATTCATCAAACACAAAGAGAAATGTTAGACCGTTTATTACAATCATTTTAAATATGACTGAAGTTATGCACATAAAGAACAAAAGTTATGGCTGACGTACCATGATCGAATAAGGATCCAAAACAAGAGTATGAATATTCCGCAAGCTCGAATTAACAGGAAGATAACCAATGTTTTGTCTATAAGAGCAACCATGAAATGCTAACACACGAAGTCTCAGAGCAGTTATGTTAAAATAGAACATGGTTTGATCGCATGCAAAAAATGAGAGATCCTCAAGCATGGGAGCATTAATTGTATGATTTAGAAGATCTATAGGCTCAAAGCGAACATTCATAAAACGAAGTTCAGTGAAATTTAGGAGTACGCAAGGGGCATTCGCTGTGTCATAAGCGGTTCCAGAAAGATGCAACCTCCTGAGTGTTGGGCAGGAAAAGATGCAATCTGGCAGTAAGAACCCATCTTGTCGATCAAAAGTAAGGTGGATTTCTTCAACTCCTTTTTGTGTGACAAAAGAGAGCCATTGATCAACGTCAAATAGTCGTGATCTGAGTGTTCCTGCTCCTATCCCGTCCTCAAAGAATATAAAGACGAATTTGCGAATAGGTCCTTTGTGAAACATGAGAACTTTACTGATTACATAGAAACTCACAGAGACTAAGATGTTGATGCTTTCATTTTCGTATATTACTTTCTTATCCCTGACACCGCTAGCAGCATAGTACGGGATATACTTATTTGTAATGTAACAAAAGAAGTATTCATCAAAGCAGAGTGTTGAAAGGCCGAGCCATGAATTTCTCCACCGAGTTGACAAAACAGCCATTCTAGCAGCTCCTTCAATGGACAATAATGTCAAAATCTTGTCGAGTATAACCGCCGGAAGTCCACTGAATCTGTCCCTCGTACTCTCCATAATCGAAGTTCAGCTTTTTAAAGTTTCAAATTAAAGAACAAATAGGTCAGACATAATAACCCAACAATGAGTGAACTCGGTGATAGTGATTAGAATGAGGTCTCAATCTCGCCCAAAAAGATGACAGTTTTGTACATGAGCAACAATGACACGTATGAACAAGAACATAACCAGATTCAAATTCAGTTCTTTGACTATTGAACATTTTATAGGGTTAAGGAAAACCCCTAATTTCTTAGCATTGTAAAATTTCAAAACCCTAACACTCAATAGGGAGATGTGATATGATACTAATTCAACCACTTCAAACACAGAGAGAGTTGATGGGTAGAGTAGTGAGAGTGGTTCAAGTAACCTGAAGGGCGTGCCGGATAGAGTAGGGAGTGTGACTTCGGAAATCAAAAGGACTGTTTCACTCGATTTGGGAGGGATGGAGATTGAAGGGCGTGCCGGATCATTTGATTCAAATATTAGGACTGAACTGGACTGTTGTTTAGGGGATGCTAGGGGTACGCCAAAGGTGTACTCTTCCAAATGTACACATGTCTCTACATCATTCATTTTATTTTTTTATTTTGTTTTTATTTTTATTTTTTTGAATTTTACATGCTCTTTTTTGTGGTTATGGAGGGGTAGAGGATACACCTAGCATTTTCTTAATTTAACTGGATGGGGTCTCATTAATTTATGGAGGTGCCTTGAGTCGAGAGTAGTTCCCATCGCGTACACTCGCGGAATCAAGGATATGTACGGTGGGGCTAGGACTAGGGTAAGGTCCTCCGGGGGCGACTCTGAGTCATTCTCGGTAGGGATGAGGTTGCACCAGGGGTCTGCTCTTAGCCCTTTTTGTTCGCCTTGGTTATGGACGTCCTGACACAAGGTGTTCAAGAAGGGGTCCCATGGTGCATGCTTTTTGCGGATGATATTGTGCTTATCGACGACACGCGTGAGGGACTAAACGATAAGTTGGAACTATGACGCCTTGCCCTTGAGACCAAAGGATTCAGAATAAGTAAGAAAAAGACTGAATACATGGAATGTCGTTTGAGCAATCGGAAAACGGAATCAGAAGTGGAAGTTATGATTGACTCTCACCTAGTGCCTAAGGTTGACAAGTTTCGATATCTTGGTTCGGTAATTCAAGCTGATGGGGAGTTAGACGGGAATGTTGGACATCGTGTTGGAGTGGCTTGGGCCAAATGGCGGTTGGTTTCAGGGGTGTTGTGTGATCTGAAGATTTCGCTCGGGATAAAAGGTAAGTTCTACCGGTCCGTAGTCAGACCTGCTATGTTATATGGGGCAGAGTGTTGGGCATTTAAGAAGACTCATGTGCATCATCTGCATGCGGCGGAGATGCGGATGTTACGATGGATGTGTGGGAAGACAAGGGTTGATAAGATTTCGAACGAAGTTATCCGACGTCAGTTAGGCATGGCGCCGATGGAAGATAAGCTGCGGGAAGCGAGGTTGAGATAGTTTGGTCATGTGAGGCGGCGGAATGCTGACGCCCCTGTACGGAGATGTGAGAGGATTACGGTTGTCGGGGAAAGTAGGGGAAGGGGTAGACCTAGAAAGAATTGGAAGGAGGTGATTAGGCAGGATTTAGGACTTGTCACCCTGACTGAGGATATGGCTTTAGATATGAACCTTTGGAGAACTAGGATTAGAGTAGATGGATAGGTGCTTCAAGGGTTTTTTGTAGTGTTTTGTTTGGTTGGAAATTTTTGTTATTGCTTGCAGGACTTTCATTCCATTATACTTGGTGCTTTATCTGTGTTATACTGTGATTCTTATCATATTTTTTGTGCAGTTGGAGCCGGGGGTCTCTTGGAAACAGCCTCTCTACTTTCGAGTAGGGGTAAGGTCTGCGTACACACACCCTCCCCAGACCTTACTGTAGTGGGATTCAACTGGGTTGTTGTTTGGGTCTCATTAATTTTTGTTGGGACACACATACATTATAGAAATAATCTTAAATAGGACTAAAACATAGAGAAAAATATCAAAATAGGACTTTCATGTTTTTATTCTCGGAATAGAACTTCACACTGTGGTAATGTAGGACTTTCATGTTTTTAATGTTTTACTCCTACTTTTATCTTTTTTCCCATACATTAATTCTTTTTTCAAAAAAAATAAATTACCATAATATATAAATTTAGGAGGGGGCATTAGCCCCTAACTAGTATATGGTGCATCCTCCCATGCCTATCCCCTGGTAAACTCTATTCTCGACCCAATCTGAACCTGCCTCCCCCCCCCCCCCCCCCCCCCCCCCCCCCCCCCCCCCCCGCCCCGCCCCGCCACGTCAGTTGTCTCTCCAATTGACAACGATAAGGGTGGGTTTGGATTGGGTTGACAGTGTAAGTTTATCAGAGGTTAAAAAGGTAAGATTTATTAGTTTTTTAAACAGAGCATCGTGGCGACTTCAATTTGACTGGTTTGATAATATGACACGCATTTTGAGTGTCAAAATAACCGTTGACTTTGTAATCTCTCTATCCCAAACAAACTTCTTACTCTATATTTCTTTTTTTGAGATGTCCAAAAAAAGCCTTCGTTTTCCTTTTTTAGGAAAATTTTGAGTGATTCATAATCTTTCTTTGTTTTCTGCATCACTTCCAATTATATATTTTTATTTTTCTTAAACTTTGCATAAGCCAAACTTTTTTATACTCCATATTCTTGTCAAAGTAAAAAACATTAACCCTAAAAAATCAAATAGTCTAATGTGAATCAAATGAGGGAGTAGATTTTTTTTACTCCCATATGAAGGAGTGGATAAAAGAAAAAAAGACCAAAATATAAGTAAAATATTAAAAATATATCAAAATAGAAGTTTTATATTTCATTTCTGAATTAGAACTTAAAATGCATTTATAATATACCATATATGCTATCAAAAAATATTGTGAATTGTTCGGATAGAATACTACATTATCAAAATGCAAATTTTTATTTTGGGTATAAAAATTCAAAACTTTTGTTTTGATTTTATATAAACCCCATTGCCGCTAATTCTCCTTGCGCACTCTCCAGTATCCAGTCCCTATCCCTCCCAAATCAAATTACGAAGGCATACAGTTTTCAGATTTCTGCAGTCAAACTCCCTACTCCATCCAGCACGCCCCTACAGGTTGGTGGAATCACCGTTAATACTTTACCAATTAACTCTATTTGAAGTCTCGATTGTAGTTAAATTAGCATTTTATATCTTCCGATTGAGTGTTTGAATGTTAGGGGTTTGGAATTTTATAATGCTGAGAGATTAGGGTTTTTCTCAAAAACGTACTGTATATTTAATGTTCTAACTGCTGATTTTGAATTCGAGTTCTGGATTTGTTCTTATTCATACATGTCATCGATGTTCAGGTCCAAAATTGTCATCTTTTGGCTGAGATTGAGACCTCATTCTAATCCCTATCACCGAGTTCCCTCATTTTGGGGTTGTGCTTGACCTATTTGTTCTTTAATTTGCGTCTATACAAGCAGCTTCGATTATGGCCTGTCCGAGAGACAGATTCAGTGAACTTCCGGCTCATATACTTGACAAGATTCTGAGATTGTTGTCAATTCTACAAGCAGCTAGAATGGCTGTTTTGTCGACTCTTTGGAGAGATTCGTGGTTCAGTCTTTCAGAACTCGTCTTTAATGAATACTTCTTTTCTCACATTCGGAACAAGTATGTCTTGTACTATGCTAATAGTGGTATCAGGGACAAGAAAGTAATATATGACAATGAAAGCATCGATATTTTAGTCTCTGTGAGTTTGTATGTGATCACTAGAGTTCTCATGCATCACAGAGGGCCTATACGCAATTTTAGCTTTATATTCTCTGGTTATGAGGCAGGAGCACTCAGATCACGATTATTTGACATTGATCAATGGCTCTCTTTTGTCACACAAAACGGAGTTGAAGAAATTCACCTTAGTCTTGATCAAGAAGATGGGTTCTTACTGCCAGATTGCATCTTTTCCTGCCCAACACTCAGGAGGTTGCATCTTTCTGGAACCGCTTATGACACAGCGAATGCCCCTTGCGTACTCCTAAATTTCACTGAACTTCGTTTTATGAATGTTCGCTTTGAGCCTATAGATCTTCTAAATAATAAAATTAATGCTCCCATGCTTGAGGATCTCTCGTTTTATGCATGCGACCAAACCATGTTCTATTTTAATGTAACAGCTCCGAAACTTTGCATGTTAACCATTCAAAGTTGCTCCTATAGACAAAACATTGCCAATCTCCCAGTTAATCTGAGCTTGCGGAATGCCCGTACTCTTGTTTTGGATCCTTATTCAATCATCGTATGTCAGCCATATCCTTTTTTTGTGTGCCTAAATTAATTCATTCAAAGCAGTGGTAATAAATGTTCTAAATTTCTCTTTGTATGTGTTCCAAGAATTTTTTCGAACCCTTCATTAGAAGGGGGAAGCTGCTACAACCACGTGAACTAAATGTGGAATGCCTAGTGCTGTGTGAAGACCCATTAGGTTGCGACATAGATGATCGCTTCTCAGTATCCGGTGATATTTCTTCTGCATTCATTCATTTGCTGGAAGTATGCCCAAAATTGCGCGAGATTCACATACAAGCATGGGTAATCTTATCTTTCTAGACATATTATTCCTAAAACTCATATTTGATTCCCATCATTTTTTAACATTTCTTAATGCATTGTGAGTTTTATTGATTCTTTTGTTTAATCTATCTGTGTTCTTTCTACTGTAGTTTCTCGAAGCGATGTATGAGTGCTTGAAGACACGGTCAAAACTTTCCAAGGAACTTTATCGTGTGGCTCAAACGCTCAACTCTCTTCACACTCTGAGTTTGAGTTATGATGACATTTTCATAACTTCGTCCGAGGATTCACTTCTTTGGGTCGAAGGGCTACTTTCCTCCTTTCCAACACTTGAGAAGTTCATCGTAGGAGGACGGGACATTAGTCTCAAGACTGTTCAGAAGTTCTTGCGTTTTCCCCGTGCCTCCCCAAAAGTTGAAATACTTTTCACATGTTGTATGTAATTGTTAGTTTGAATGTCCCCTTAACCTTTCAAGGTGAATGAATTAGAAAAGTCCTGCTAAAAGTTGCCTTTGCTCATGTAAAAAAAAGGCCTTATTTTGGTTTTTTTCCTTGTCTCTGGAGATGTTGTCTGTATAATCATCATTTTGTATTCTGATGTCACAAGAATGAATTAACTTCATTTATTGTACTTGGATTTTAGGTCACTTCTCACCTCATTTTATGATAATTAAAACTCATGACCTCACTTGAACAACAAGCAAAATCTCACCTTTTTTAAATCTATTTTATTTATATATTGGTATAGTAATATAAATGGCTCCTCCTATCCTAAAAAAGGTCATAGTTCACGGTTAAAAAATTACTAAAATTTTTGTTTATTTGTACGTTTTTATCGAATATATGATGAAATAAAATATTCTTATCATTTTTTGTTTTGAAAAACTTTTTGCGTAGTTTTTGAATATGTAAATTTTATTATTTATTTATATACCAATATTTAAATAAAATGAATTGAAAAAACTTGACATTTCACTTTATTTTCCATAACATGTCAAATATTTTGGGACGAAGGGAGTATAAATGACATTTTTCGTCCGAATTTATCATCTCAGTTTGACTATACAAAGTTAAAATGTTGAAAAATTAAAGGTGATGAGTAAAAATTTGTTTATAAGAAAGAGAAAAATTATGAACCCCATATTCATTAAGGAGTATTGGCATATTCACATTCCTTCACACTCACCATAACTCACATTTTTCATCACTCCACATCATATACTCTACACTTCGTCAAGCTCCGTCAAACCTGTCATAACACATATTCTCAATTCTATTAAATAACAATTTTAAAATGGGAAATTTACCTAAATAGTACTAAAACATAGTTATTTTTCAATGTAGTATCTTATATATTTTTATTTCTCAATGTACACCACTGGTCATTCTCTACTGGTCATTGTTCAAATAAATGTTCACCGTCATTTGACATTATTTGAATAAATGTACCAAACACTAGAAATTATTTAAGTACTATTTATAGCATAAAAAAGTTAAGTGATACATTAAAAATTAACATACCAAGTATATTTTAATACTATTTAATGCACTATTAAAAAAGAAAGGAGTAAAAGACAAACTTATCACTAATCCCGTCGTCATCGTCATTCCCGTGCGGTGGTCTTCCAGTGCACTCTTCAATTTCCTTATTTCCCCATCTCTCTCTCTCTCTCTTTTACAGTCCTTTTGGGTTCCGCAGTTATGCTCCCTTCTCCAGCAAACCGTACAGGTTAGTGGAATCACTACTCTACCAATTTACTCTGTTTGAAGTCTATTCATGTTAATTTAACCATTTTTACATGATTGAATGTTTGGGTTTTGAAATTTTAAAATTCTTAGAAGTTAGGGATTTTCCCGAAAGGGATAAAATGTTCTGTACTCAAATAACTGAACTTGAATCCGGATTCTGGATCTGTTTCTGTTCATGCATGTCAATGATGTTCGTGTTCAAAATTGTCATCTTTTTTGGCTGAGATTGAGAACCCATTCTACTTACTACGGAGTATTACAGAACTCGTACATTTTTTTTGTCTCTATGCCTGACCTATTTGTTCTTTAATTTGCACCCATACAAGCTGCTTCGATTATGGCGAGTAGAAGAGACAGATTCAGTGAACTTCCGGCTGATATACTTGACATGATTTTGGGATTCATGCCGATTGTAGCAGCGGCTAGAATGGCTGTTTTGTCGACTCTCTGGAGAGATTTATGGTTTAGTCTCTCACAGCTCTGCTTTAATGAATACTTCTTTTCTCACATTCAGGACAAGTATGTCTCGTACTATGCTGCTAGCGGTGTGAGGGATAAGAAAGTAATATATGACAACGAAAGCATCAATATCTTAGTCTCCGTGAGTTTCAATGTGATCACTAGAGTTCTCATGCATCATAAAGGAGTTATTCGCAAATTTCTCTTTGTATTCTCGGATGACGGGGTAGGACAAGGAACAATCCGATCACGACTACTTGACATTGATCAATGGCTCTCTTTTGTCACACTAAAAGGAGTTGAAGACATTCACCTTAGTTTTGACCAAGAATATGGGTTCTTACTTCCGAGCTGCATCTTTTCCTGCCCAACACTCAGGAGGTTGCATCTTTCCGGGGCCTCTTATGACACAGTGAATGCCCCTTGCATCCTCCTGAATTTCACCAAACTTCGTTTTAGAAATGTTCGTTTTGAGCCTATAGATCTTCTAAACTATACAATTAATGCCCCAATGCTTGAGAATCTCTCGTTTTATGAATGTGATCAAACCATGTTCTATTTTAACGTGACTGCTCCGAAACTTTGCACATTAAAAATTATAAATTGCTCCTACAGACAAGAAATTGCTTATCTCCCAGTTAGTTCAAGCTTGGGGAATGCTCGTACCCTTGTTTTGGATCCTTATTCGATCATCGTATGTCAGCCATACCCTTTTTTGTGTGCATAAATTCATTCATTTAGATTTATTGTAATAAATGATCTAACATTTCTGTGTTCCAAGAATTTTTTCGAACCCTTTATTAAAAGGGGGAAGCTGCTACAACCACGTGATCTAAATGTGGAATGCCTGATGTTGTGTGAAGACCCATTTAATCTCGATATAGATGACCGTTTCCTAGTAGCTGGTGATATTTCTTCTGCATTCATTCATTTGCTGCAAGTATGCCCAAAAATGCGCGAAATTCAAATACAAGCATGGGTATTCTTATTTTCGTAGACAAATTATTCCTAAAACTCCTATTTGCTTCCCATCATTTTTCAGAATTTCAGGGTGCAATTTTGTTGTGAGTTTTACTGATTCTTTTGTATTTTCATCTGGTTTCTTTTTCTTGTAGTTTCTCGAGGCGATGCATGAGTGCTTAAAGGCCCAATCACCACTTTCGAAGGAACTTTATAGTGCGGCTCAAACACTCAAGTCTCTTCACACTCTGAGTTTGAGTTATGATGAATTCTTCAAAACTTCATCCGATGATTCGCTTCTTTGGGTCGAAGGTCTACTTTCCTCCTTTCCAACACTTGAGAAGTTCATCATAAGAGGAGGGAAAATCAGTCTCAAGACCGCTCAGAAGCTCTTGCGTTCTCCTCGCGCCTCTCCAAAAGTTGAAATACTTTTACTTTAAACGCCCCCCTAACTTTTTAAGGTGAATGAACTAGAAAACTTCTTCTTGATAGTTAGTTCAATTTACTCATTCCAGCTTGGAAAGAAACACACTTGGGTTGGCTTTGCTCATGTTGTGTTTTGGCACAATTTGGCGTCCCCCTTTTCTGGTCTTTATATCTTCTTCATATAATGGAAAGCCTCTAGCATATTGATTATAGAATCATCATTTTCTATTATATGGTTACAATAATCAATTTATTTGATTTATTCTACTTTGAATTTCACTCACTTTTTCCCTCAGTTTTTTTTTTGAGAAATAAAAAGGGTACCCAACATTTTTGGTATTAAAACAGATGGTCTGTTGGGAAGGAACATAACTTTATTCATTTAAAAAGTGGAGGGGTTGTTTGCCTGTTTCAACTCGATCCTTGATGCACTCGCCAACATTTTATGGAATGAAAGAATCAAAGGGCCCCTTTGTTTTTTTATATAGGGCTTGTTTGAGAATAATGTTTTAAATTTGATTTAGTGTTTTGATTAATTTTAAAAACACCAAAGTTAATTGCTAACATTTGATAATATTTTCAAAATATTAAAATTCATCACTGAAATTATTGTTAAACAGGCACAAAAAAATGTAAAAATAGCTCTAATTGCTAACATTTGATAAATTTTAAAATTAATCGATGAAATTGTTGTCAAACGAGCACATAAAAATGTAAAAAATAGCTTTGTATATTCTGGCTTTTGAGGTGGGGACATCATGTATCTCTTTAGGGACGGAGTTGGAAACATGAAAAGACTAAGGCTCTGTTTGGCATCAACGTCAGAGATTAGCGTTAGAGTTTTGAAAAAGCTATCCGACGGTAGCCTTTAGCGTTAACGTTTTTAGAATTAATCTGCACCGTTAAAATTTTATCCAAAACGCTAACGCTAATCGAAAACGCTATTACCAAACAAAGCCTAAGTTTTGAACTTTTTATATGGGCTTGTTTGGTTAATATAAGAGATACGAATTCTGATATCTTTCAATATACTAAAAACTATTTGTCGGTGTTTGGTGGAGATTGAATAGGGTTCAGTTTGATCGGATGTCACAATTCTCAATATCTCTTGAATTTATGAGATATCGGTATGGAGATTATGATTTTCCTCAATAATCAAAGACCCTCGTTGCCGGTCATAATCGTTGACTACACCTTGACAACTTGTCGCCCGTCATTAATAACAATAGGGCTCGTGGTGAGTTTTCGAGATATGATATGATATATGTTCTGAAATCTAAGAAATTGCTATGAGATCTAAAATCTGAAACGAAGATGTTTAGTTTGAAAAGATTTAAAATTCACAAGATAAACAGAGATGGTTGACTACCAGGGTGATTGGCGGTGACAAAGGTATCCAGTGGCGGGTGGTGGTTGACGGTTGTTGGAGGTATCAAACTTTCATATTGATAACTCCCAAATTCAGATGATATCAAAAGTCCTTATTTGAAAGATTTGTGATATTTGAGATATCAAATATGAAATCTGTTTACTATTCACCAAACATCAAAAAAGTGTTCTGATATTTGAAGATATCAAAACTCATATCTTTTTTACTTACTAAAAAACAGACCCATAATTTAAAATCTCTCCAAATTAAATATTTTCATTTCAAATTTCAAAACTCATTTTTTTTTTAAATTCCCTCTCGATCATGTCAAATGTCTTTTTTGTTTGAGAAAAAAGTTCATTATCTTTTTTAGTATTTGAAATCTCTTTCTTTATTTATTAGACTTCATCCAATAATTCACTTATTTTCATTAAGCACAATTTGATAAATTTTCATTTTTTCTACTCACTTTAAAAATCATAAAAAAATCTTTCAGAGAGAGGGAACACTGAATTCTAGAATTCATATCAACTTTTCCAAATTTTCCAAACGGACCTAAAGGATTTGAGGATTAGACGTCCCCAATTATTAAATGGAAACAATTTGGGGATATGATTGGAATCGTTATATATGAGGAGAAAGACCAAAGTAGGACTAAAACATTGAAGATATACCAAAATAGGACTTCCATGTTTTTATTCTCGAAATAGGACTTACATTACCAAACATGGTCATATACATTATCAAGAAAGTATAGTAATTTGCACATGTACACTGCCAAATTACCACAATGCAAAGTCCTATTTCGGGAAAAAAACATGAAAGTTCTATTTTGGTACTTTTCTCTATGTTTTAGTCCTATTTAGAATGATTTCTATTATATATGCATGCAAAGAAGGAATTTTTTTGTGTTGTTTAGATCAATACTAATTTTATGGCCCTTAATTAATACTCACTTCGTCCTGAAATGATCTTATCAGTTCGGTTTACGATATTTGAGTGAAGTTATTTTCAATTCAATTTATTTGATTATAGATGTGAAATTAAAAAAATAAAAATTATATATTTCAAAACTATATCAAAAGTTTTACAAAACAAGAGGTGGCATGACTATATTATTTTATCAAATAACTAACAAAAATATGTAAAAAAAAATGATTAAAGTTTAATTATGTGAATAGTGACTGAAAAGATCATTTTAAGACGGAGGGAGTACCTTAAGGCCCCGTTTGGTACACAGAATTCAAACTATGGAATTGGAATTGAAGACTTCAATTCCAATTCTGGTGTTTGGCAGCACAAAAATTTTGTGGATTTGGAATTGATAGTACAAAAAATGAATTAGAATTTGCAGAATTCAATTCTATGGAATTGAATCCCATAAAATTTTAATTCCAATTCAATTTCAATTCCATCAATTCTGTATACCAAATGGACCCTAAATGATTATATGTATTAAGCCTTGCTAAAAGAAAAAGATCTCATTGTGAGTTTATAAAAATATGTGAGAACACCTAGATTTAGGAACCAAAATAGCATAGCTCAAAATAAAAAATCGCTTGAATTGAAAATCCAATTTAGGAAGGAAACAAGGTTGTTCATATAGGCTTCGTTTGAAAACGCTAACGCAAATCTCTAACGCTGATGCCAAACGGGGCCATAAGCTTCAAAAGAGCCTCCTTGGCCTTGTTTGGAAGTTGACACTCAGCTGTTGGATATTGGCTATTTGTGTCAGCTGCTGGGATTGGCGGATGAGTTTGGGTAGTTTGATCAGCATGATGTGTTGGCTGATTTGCACTAAATAACACTAAACTTAACTCATTTTCCTAAATAGCACTTAAATTGTTTTATTCCTTAAATAATATTTAATAATGTCCAGAAGGAGCAATAATGTCCAGTTATGACGAATATTTACTTGAATAATGACTAATGGATAATGACTCAAAGTGTTAGTTACATTGGAAAAAAACGCATATGATGCTATTTAGAAAAAGTCATTATATTTAAGTGTTATTTAAGTAAATTTCACTAATTATAATGATAAAAAAAATCAAATATACAGATAAGAAAAGCGTTAAAAAAATGAACTTGTCCAAAAAGGATAAATATTTGTACCCCATTTATACACTGCAGGTTTGCGCCGACATTTTTTGTTGGTGTAAAACTAATTTTTGTTAACGCACCAATACTTTGTGTTCGTGTAAATTTTTTTTGACGCACCAACACTTGTACGGTGTAAACCATAAAAATGTTTGTGTATAACTGCGGTGTGCATCATCCTAATAAAAATGGCCAAATGGGATCAATTTCAGTATTGTTATATCCGAACGTAAATGACGGAGTATTATTATAAACAAGTAGTGTTACGTAACTATAACTCTATACTCTTAAGCCTTCTCTTTACCATATAAATCCATTTCCTCATTTCTTTATTTATTCCCTATTAAAACCTCTTATGCCAAATACATACCTTCTACACTCTACAATATAAATTATAATATGGCTCCAAAGAGCTTAAAAATATGCTCCGCCGTCCTTCTTCTTCTCATCGTCCTCATCGCCGCCGTCTTTCTGACTCTATTCCTCACAATCTTGAAACCCCGGCCTCCGGAGATCACCACCCACCCGGCGAACCTCCACAACGTGACGTTCGGGGTGTTCCCGACTCTGACCCTGAACGCCACGCTGAACTTCACGATCACCGTCAGGAACCCGAACCACGGCGACTGCGCGTACGACGGCTCAGTCGCCGTGGTGTACTACAGGGGATCTCCGGTGGCGGAGATCCCATTGGGGCCCGGCGCCGTGCCGGCGAGAGGACGGCACGATGTGGTCGCTCTCGCCGACCTCAGCGGGGACAGGGTCGTAAACAGCCCGGGCTTCTCGGCGGATTACGGCGCCGGGCGCCTGAACTTCACGTCGGTGGCGAACATGCCGGCGAGGGTTAGAGTGTTGAAGGCGTTCAAGATTCATTTGACGGTTGTGATCGATTGCGAGTTGTCTGTTTTGGTTTCTCCGCCGTACGATGTTCGGTCCACTTGTACCTCAAAACTTAAGTTTTGATATTCCTTTGAAATGTTTTTTTCCAATGGGATGACATTTATCTAAATGGGGCTGTGTAAAATTGAGGATTCCTACACCTGTAATTGTTCCGTAATTTTTTATTCTACCCGACCGAATCCAACCCCATCCTTTCGAATGTATCTTCAAATTTAGTAGTGTCATATAAATTTAAATATATAATGTTATTGTATATTTATCATACATAAATATTTTTAAATTTCTTTTTAGAAAAAACTGAAAAAAAAGTTGAAAAAAACTGAAAGAAATTTGCAGAAAGTAAAGTTTGTAATTAATTTTTTCAACCAAAAGAATAGAGTCTTGTTGGAAAAATCACCTCAATTTTCTAACGGAAGCAATTAATAACAAAAATCACTAAGATTTAACGTGGAAACCCCAAACCGGGAAAAAAACCACAAAGTCTTTCACTAATCACCAAAAAATCAGTGGGTACACCAAGAATACTCTCTAAATCAATTAGAGGTACACACAATGATCAAGTAACAACTTGGAATACCAAACAACAATAATCTTCACTCAAAAGTGAGAAAACCACACAAAAACGTAGCGGTAAACAGAGGCAGTTTTAACGACATCAATGGTGAAAACAACAATCCCACCGTTGGGTATGAACAAGAAGATGTGAGGAACAACATACTATAATTTCATCCCGATCGGTGCTCGTTTGGTCGTCGATCCGAGCACAAAACGAGGGTGCAGCTCTCTTTTTCCTCTCTTCTTCTCTCGGTTTCACTCTATTTTCTTCTCTGCTTTTTCTGCTGTGCGGCTCCTTGCTTTTCTCCCCGTAAGAAGCCAAAAAGGCTATTGCCTTTCAAAAAAGTGGCAGCCCATAGGTAAGTGGTAGCCCCACCACTTTGACCTATTTCTTTCTTTATAACAATAATAATAAATATTAGGAAAAATTACCTAAAATAATCCTAACTTTACCCGATCTTTCAAAAATAATCTCACCTTTCACTGTGATGCATAATAATCCCAATTTTACTGAAATTTGTCAGTTTTGGGTCGCCGTTAAGTTTCTAACAGATGGTTAACGGAAATGCCCATTTTAAGGAACAAAATGAAAGTTGGGATTATTTTTGATGAATTTTCATTTTTTTAAAAAAAAATTTTCATTTAAATTTTTTAAATTACTTTCTACCTCCATCGTCATTTCTTTTTCCTTTTTTAAAGATTAGTCTTAGTTTAAAAAATAAAAATAATAGATATAAAAAATGAAAGAATGAGAAATGTAACTAAAATGATACAAAAATAATAAAAAAAATAAGGTAATCAATGGAAACTAACTTGAAATTGGTAAAAGTAAAATAAAAATATACGGGTGGGTTTTAATATTTTACGCATTATACAAAGTATTAACATATCACCTCTTATTTTTTAGAAAAAATTATCTAAAATAATTCCAACTTTTACCGGACGGCTTGTTCTTTTAAAAAATAAGTACTCCCTCCGTCCCGCTATATTCGTCCACTTTTGACTTTTGGAACTGTTCATCTAAGCACTTTGACTCATCAAATTCTCTCAATGTGTAAGCCTAAATATAGTCATGTGTGATTTTGTTTGATTTGTCTTAGCATATAGATTATTAATATATAATTTCTATAATTATTTAATATACTAATTACAAGATAAAATGGATTAAAGAAGTGTATTGGATGGTGTGCAAAAATTAAAGTGGACAAATACTCTGGGATGAAAGAAGTAGTACATTAAGACTCAGTATAGTGTGTAAAATGTTAAAACCCACCACTCCGTATATATTTATTTTATTTCTTACCAGTTTCTGTTTAATTTCTATTGATTACATTATTTATTTGATTAATTTTGTATGGTTTTAGTTATTTTTCTCATTTTCATTATTTTTTATATCTATTTTTTTCTAAGGTAAGAATAATCTTTAAAAAAGAAAAAGAAATTGAGGTTGAAATTAATTCAAAAATTTTAAATAAAAATTTCAAAAAAATTTAAAAAACAAAAATTCATAAAAAATAATCCCAACTTTCATTTTGTTGCCTAAAACGGGCATTTCCATTAACCCTCTGTTAGAAACTTAACGGCGACCCAAAACTGGAAAATTTCAATAAAGTTGGGATTACTATGCATCACAGTGAAAGATGGGATTATTTTTGAAAGACCGGGTAAAGTTGGGATTATTTTGGGTAGTTTTTCCTAAATATTATTATTATTATATTAGTCCACTTCTAAACAAATTACGGAGCACATTTTTAATACTAAATGTATTGTTTAGGAACATCTTCAGTAGCTATATTGCTATATCTCCAACCATTCACATATTTTAAACTCAAATTCAAAAAAGAGTAACTATAATATTTATAGTAATCCATTTCTAACCTATTATTCCCAAATCAAAATAATATTGTCGATCACAATGTTTTTTTATTACTTATGTATTTTAACAATCTAAAAGTTGCAGTGAATTATAAAAAGCTAATATGCTAAAAAAACAAGTAATATTACGGAAAACCCCATTTTGAGATTAGAAATAAAGTATATATGTTGAAAGATGTACAACTCCAAAACAAAATATATGGAAAAAATAGTTCTACCTTTCATTTTTGGGATGAATAAAATATTTAAAATATCTTCAAAATAACTTCTACCCGCAAAAAAGGGGAAATGAAATGTATTTTAGCTATTTTAAGTAAGATTAGAAATGTTTTTTGATATTCGCAAAACTAAAAGGTAGAATTATTTTTTCAAACGCATGTAGTATTAACATCGACCATCTAACCTAAGTGACAAGCAATCTAGGATTTTGTTTTGAAATATTATTTCAAAACGTTAAGAATAGGCATAATTAAGGAGTATATAATACTATTGTATTAGACCTGAATATTATGTCGTGCTCATAATTGTCTCGAACTAGAGACGAATTCATCAGTCCCATTTATTTCGTCTCTTTTCATTTGAGACGGGAATATTTTGTCTCTTTGTGTTTGGGACGAAAACGAGACGGCATAGAAATGAGAAAGAATTCCGTCTCTTATGTGTATAAACTTGGCCAGCCATCATTCAAAATTATTCATTTTAGAAACTAAAATCTGTCTCAAAATCTAAATATTAAAAAAATGAATTGTTGAGATTAAGAACGTAAACCTAAACCAACCCATGTATTAGGTAGTACCAGAACAATTAATGGTGATGGAACAAAATATTTGTTACTTTTTTTAGAATAAAGCAACCCAACAAAGGCTTTGTTTGGTAACAGCGTCTTTGATTAGCGTTAGCGTTTTGGATAAAATTTTAATGGTGCAGATTAAGGGTCTGTTTGGGAATAGCGTTAGCTATTAGCTTTAGCGTTTTGAAAAGGCTATCTACGGGCAGCGTTTAGCGGTAGCGTTTTCAAAGTAATCTGCACCGTTAAAATGTTATCCAAAACGCTAACGCTAATCACTAAAGTTATTCCCAAACACGCTCTAATTCTGGAAACGCTTACGCTAAAGGCTACCGTCGGATAGCTTTTTCAAAACGCTAACGCTAATCTCTGACGCTAATGCCAAACGGGGCCAAAAAAGTCTTAAGCAACCTTAATGTTAATGTAACACATGTCTTAAAAACACATATTCATCATAATCCAAAACAATCTAATTGCAACATACTTCCTCAAAACAATAGCAACAACTTCATTTTTACCATGTCCAAACTCCAAAACATCAGTGTACCAAGCTCCTAATTAGAATAAATTCTGATCTGATATGAATGTAGTTATATTTAAAATTCTTTTTGATCGGATCTGGTCTAATCTGAACTGATTCCAATAAAAAAGTAATAAAAATAAATTGAAAAGATCGAACATGACATAGCTGCTTAGAGTCAAACTTGGTTTTCCAGGTAAGAAATATGGAAGTAACAATACATATTTTTTTAGGAAAAAGTAACAATACATTTCTTAAAATAAAGTTATGGAAAGATGTTCTAAATAAAAAGTTATGGAAAGAAAGAAAAAATGATTTTTCAAGTGCTAATGAATATGGAGAATGAAAGTATGTATTAATTAACCAAAAAAAAAGTATAAATATTTTTATTTTTTTAGTAATGCTAGGCGTACATCAAATATAAGCCTTATTGTATACCTCATCTGTACACCACCAATTCTCAACTTTTTTTATCCACTCGTTATTTTTTTAATCAACATTAAGATTGTGGTAGAGAAGTATTATTGCAGTATATTTTTTGATGTTCCCCTATTAGTTTTGTTTTTAACTGCAGTAGCTACCCCCATATTTCCCTTAGTGGACCCGCCCATGTCTAATTTATTTGTCTTAGTTTGATTTTTAGATTAATTTTGATCTCAAATTAAATATAATTATAATAAATAGAAGTTTTAAACTTTTGATATTTTTAAAACAAATTCAACTATATTAATTTCTAGTTATAATTAAATATATATATTTTTTAAAATTTGTGATCAAAATTTGCCTAAAAGTCAAAATAAGACAAATAAATTGAGACAGAGGGAGTAATTGTCCGTAGTAACTAAATTCAAGAACAATACTCATTGAATATAAAAAAATTTAAACTAAAAAGGTTGTAAAAAACTAAAACTGTAAGTTTATATTTTTTTGCCCATATACACAAATCATAAGATCAAATTATAGTTGGGACCGCACATACCCCCACACCAATCCCGTATAAGAATGATATAGTTCTGGGTGTAACACTTTCGAATTTATTTTGGGCACCTCTCAAAATTAAAATTGTAAGTTTATATTTTTTGCCCATATACACAAATCGTAAGATCAAACTACAGTTGGGACCGCATGTACCCCCACACCAACCCTGTATAAGAATGATATTGATCGTTCTGGGTATAACACTTTCGGATTTATTTTGGGCACCTCTCAAAACTAAAATTGTAAGTTTATATCTTTTGCCAATATACACAAATCGTAAGATCAAACTACAGTTGGGACCGCACATACCCTCACACCAACCCTGTATAAGAATGATATTGGTCGTTCTGGGCATAACACTTTCGAATCTATTTTGGGTACCTCTCAAAAGGTTTCGTACTAATGGGATTGGATAGCCATACATATTTTGGTCATCTTTCTCCTCTTCTTCCGGGGTGGAGGGAGTTTGCCGCCCAACAAACCTCCCTTCAAACTAACGACTACACAACTCATGACTTCCCCTTCACCGATTATCCGTTTGGATAGAACGAATAGTAACCAAGAGAGCATGACCTTGGATGTTCACATCAATAACCTGAGGGCACTCATGAGAACGGATACGTCGGGGATGTCGGACTAGAAGCTTAAGATGCACAACGACATGACGGTAGCGGCCCTCACCACTATCAGTAGGGCAAATGTCGCCACATATTTCTTCCTTGTCTGCTTGATGTGGCCGTTTGGGCTCTAACCAGAGGGCGGTAAATTTGCAAGTTCATTCTATTGCAAAAACTACCTGAATAATTTGAATTCCTCTATTATTATTTAAAAAAAAAATTGATTTAGCCCTTCCATTAAATCTCAGAGATGTATGTATACTCTCTCAAGTAAAATTCTTCTTTCGCAAAGGCAAAAAATGCAACGAGTAAACAGCAGTGTCAAAGAGAAGAGATTCCCATTCACTAAAAGATTTCTGGGTCTTCAATTTCCATGCCGAAAGCTCTTAAACATCAAGATTCCAAAGCCAGCAACTGCCAGAGCGGAGAGAGCATAGGCTTTGACGGGATCAAGCCCCGCTATCAGCCTTCGCTGCTGGGTCCCGTTTTCTTGGTGGGGCCCGCGTCCCGACCCCTCGCGGAGAAGAGTGCCGAGGTTTTCCAGCTGAATCATCATTTGCCGCTGACTCCGAGCAATGTTTGATAGCTGTTTATAAGAACATAAGTTAGCATCAAATTGCCATGCACTTGGACAGTCTTGTACAAGGAACTAAACAATGGTTTTGGTGATTTTTGATGCATCACATGAAAAAACTTGCAACTAGAAAGCAGAGAGACTGTATTTAAGAAAAAGGGGGGGGGGGGTTAATGATACCTCATCCACGAAAGTGGAATCCCGGGGAGTATGGGATGAAGATGAAGAATGTGGCATAGTAGATCCAATCAAGGAACCGTTCTCTAAACCAGAGATGAAATGAGAAGTAGGGGCAGATCCATTGCAGGCTTCAGATTGCTTAGCAGCACCACCACCACCACCACCATTTTGGGCACTACTGGGGGAAGTTCGTCGATTGCTTAGCTTCAAACTGAGTTCTTCCATCTTCACTGTGCAATCATCCATTCGGTCATTTAGGGTCGAAATCTGTTCTGACAGATGAGTGATTGCCCCCTAACAGAACAAATCGGAATGAGAAATTATTCTAAGAGAAAAAAACACATAAATACCGTTGAACTAAAGAAAAATTAACAATGTAAGATTCCACGACTTTTAAGACAAGAAAGAGATGCATTCAAGTATTGTAGTAGATGAGTCTGCAATTTCACCTGGTTTGCTAATGTTGATGGTGAAGTCCTGTCATCAATCTTCCGGAAGGTTATCGAAAACCTATCATCTTTGGTCAAATTTTTGTCCCTGCATGTTTGAATACCAAGACATCCCCCATTGCCACAAGGACATTAATAACAAACTAGTTTGATGTCAAAAAAGTTCATGGGAGCATCACTTAAGACCATTTGGTAAGGCTCATTTAGCTAGAATGGCATTTCAATCTGCCAAATGAGTTTTCTGAAGGGTAACATCAATTTCAGACCAAATGACATTAGTGAAGAGAAAAGGAAAGAGTATCCGTAAGAATAGTTTAGTAAATTTATTATTTGTTCTGTTCCCAACAGTGTACCAAACACCCCATTATCGGTTACTCTAAAGAGATGCCAGGAAAATGTAAAAACGTGTAGTGAAGAGAATTGAACCTTTTGATTTTCTTATTCCTGGATGCCAACCTTTCAGCTGAGGCAAGGGAAAGCGCTGCTTTAGGACTGGACACAAGATCTTCATCTAAGCTAAGCTTTGTTTTCAAATCATCTGGTAACACCTGGAAAAATTCATATATCCCAGTTCTTTAGTGTGCTAAGGGGGGAGGGGGGAGTGGACAAACTCAACAAAACAAAGCAGCCAGCTTATAAGTTTGTTCAGTTGCAGAAGAAACACATACCATAATCTCATTCACAAGCTTTTCTAGCTGTATCTGTTCAATATATGTGCGTGGGATGTATGAGCCTTCTAGCCCCAGTTGATCGGCAACACACTTTACAACCAAACGGTCTCTTCCTTGGACCTTATAGTACATCAATTAAAAGGTTTTAGGATGTACCTCTAAGAATAAATAGTGAAGAAACAATACATCTTTTTTATTTGAACATTACCTGGACATATTGGCGCTTTAGCTGTTCAAGCCAATCAACTTTAACACAGACCCTTTCATTGCGAAGCACGTGGCTACTTCGTTTGAGGATTGCTGCTATTGTGTACCCCAAAGCCATCAACCCACCAAGAAGCCTCACACTCACTTCAAAAGTGATCCTTGGTGATATGATAAATGGAGAATCTGTGACCCACTCCTGCAATTTAAAATGCAGAACGAAACGTCAAGGAAAATGATTCCTTTAATGTTTGTTTTTACCATAGAATATATGAAAGAAAATCAAGATTGACTATTTCAAAACTTCGTTGAAATACATAAAGATTTCTGTATTCCCATAATAGAAATATACCAGAGTATATATTAAAAGTGTTTGGAAAGATATCTAAAATTGAACCATTGATTTCAAACAATTTTTTTTTTTAATTTTCAGCCTCAATACAATAGTTTTAAATATTTTCTCGATATTTGAACAAAGCAACGATCTGTGAACAAACCTCAAACATGAGATTATATCTTCCATCTTTGTTCCTCATCCTCAGGTATGAATGACATGACTCTGGATCTTCACCGGGTGGCAAAAGATAGATATCATAAGTTTCTTCTGTACTCTCTGTATACTCTTCAGACAATGATGACTTGATCTCTTCCACTGTAACTCTCTTTGAAGACTGCATAGCATTAAGGTTGAATTACACATTGACAAAACAAACTTCTAGGATCTGTTTGGATCCGGGAAAATGCCAATGGAAGTTATTTTCTTGTGTTCTGGTTTACCTCAGAAAACGGAAAAAGATTAATATTTTTCAAATTTTTACATATGGTTAGAATTCTTAGTCTTAATATAATGCTAGGCCTATTCATCCCCTAGCATTTCTGGGTTCCAAACAGACCCTTAGGATTTTGATAAACAAGAGAGGAAAAAACTGAGTAAGGACAGAAAATGCTAATACCTTCAGAATATAAGTAGGATTCTGGAAGCCAGTGAATGGATTAAATTTATTTATTATTTTTATATGCGCAGTTTGTAGGTCAGGCTCAATAAAGGCCTTATACATAGGATAAACCTGCATTTAGTTTAACAGATAGATAATAACATCATGAGAGGAACCATTGGAACTCATCATTTCAAGGAAAGGTATGAAGTGGATGGGATGTGTAAACGAACTGTTTCAGATATTTGCTGGATTATCTCTTCAGGTTCTTGACCAGCACGTTGAATGTCACGCAACACTCGCTTGACTAGATCAAAATGGACACCCCCTGTCACAGATACTCGAAGATCAAGAAAAGGCCTCAGTTTTTCATTCAAAGCATAGATTCCCTCAATTATTACTATAGAGGAGCCAGGAACTTCAAGCCTCCTGCACCAGCAAACAAGGCATAAGATCCTACTCATGCACTGAAAAGATCTTAGATTGAATTTTGAGGATTCGCAATAGGCGAAGTTTTAGTGTTTCAGGCACGCTTGTATACTAAAACTAAAATCAACAAGAGTATACAAAACGTAACTGCTTTTTAAGGTTGTTTTCGAAAGGCCCTCTGCTAAGAAAACATAAAACATACCAAGTAAAATCTAACAAAGTAGGGATACTCAACCCCTACTTATAAACTAAACTCAAATCCAACAAACAACCAAAGTGGAATACTCGACACCCCTTCTTGGTTCAAGCTGAGTTGCACAACTAGAGGTGGACATATGGGCCCAACCAGGACCCGAAGCATCGAATGGACGTACGCCTTACAACCCACAATTGGAAAAGATTCCAATACCAAGTTAAATTAGGCCCAACTCATCCTAAAACATTATAGAAATGAGAAGTCTACCTGACACTTATATACCTAGCTCAACATGAAGAAAGGTCACAAAAGCATTTGAAGGAATGGCAATAGGTTAATAGCTAGAAGAATACAAGAACAAACACACAATGGGCTAATCAGACCCTAAGAAGATAAACTTGAATTGTTTGATCCTAAACTAATACAGAGTAGCTTCAAGAAATTTACATAAGACAATAAAGTTTGCACAAGAAGACATAAAAAGATGAAATTCCACCTGTATCCTACTCGGGAGCTTGATTTGAAATCATATATTGGAACCTCCGTTGGTTTGCCCGCCTTAAGATCATGGATGTTATTTAGCAATGTATCATAGTCTGTCAAGCGTGGGTCTGTTTCCAATATATACATAGTATCAGACATACAATACAGAAACAAAGACAACCAATAAATATACAACTAAAACAACAAAATCCAGTAAAATCCCACAAAAGTGAGATACCTTACCCCTACTATGAAGTAGAGAGGCCGTTTCCAAGACACGATCAATAAATATGTACTGTATAAAGCATCATCTAAAAGAAGAATACACTTCACCAACAATAACAAAAATAGTAGACTTATTTGTGACCAAGAATTGTGATAGGATCAATGGTAAAATGCACAATTACCATCAAAGTTTCCATCGACAATCCGAGTTGCATCATTATAATTATCCATTGAAATAACGGCAACATTTGGCATGAAATTCAAAATGTTTTCAGTGAATATGGTCTTCCCTGCACCAGAAGGCCCAGCCAATCCTACCAATATAATCCCATCATTTTTCTGTGTCAACAACTGGCATGCGCGGACTACAACAAAGAATCCTTTCTCAAATGACAAATTATCCGTTATTGGGACAATCTCATATCTATCAGAATCCTTTCTCTTAAACAATCGGACTTGGTCTTTCAACAGACCAGGTCTTTGATGAGCTGATGATGATCCATTGCTAAGACTTTCTTTTGCCATCTTAATTCAAATCTGTAACACAAAACATAACAATAAACGAGTTGCAAATAAACCCAAACATCAGTTAAAATACTTCACACTCTTGAACAAACTAACAACATTCATGCTAAAAGATACTCACAAACAGTCAATTCAACCCAGAGATTTTAAACATCGTGCAATAAACAACATGTCATAATGCAAGTACTTCTAACATAATTCAAGAACTATTTTATTCCTCGCGATTACCAAAATTCTTGAATGATGAAAGATTTCATTATACTGATCCATGACAATACTAAATCTGGATACAAAATACAACTCCGCAGAATCCCAGGGGAGGAAAAACAGGCGCACTGAAACATGATCGTTCAACTGGAAACTAAGCAAAAAGAGGATCACCCATACTGGGAATTAACAGACAAAGAAATTACATACAACAAACATACCTTAAAAAAATGCTACCAGAAATACAATAAGCTTAATAAAGCAATAAAACAGAAAATAACAGAAGAAGACGAAAAAAGAGTCAGACCCAGAAATCAGTTGGATCAAATTAAAATATCATACCAAAATCCAAATGCGGAAGGCCGAGAAAGCGACCCGAAAGAAGTATGGGGCAGTGGGTCTCTCCGGTTAGGCAAAAGCTTTGGCCTTTGAGTGGCCGTCTGCGTTGAGGGAGTTTCTTGCCGCCTGGGACTATATATATATTTATCTATTTATATAAATGGAGTATTTTCTTTTTTTTCTTATATAGCTTTACGTATTTCCAATGTTCACTCAATTATTAGTAGGATTGGAATGATAAAGAATTGAAATTTGGGGAGGAGGAAATATGGGGATTTTCTGGGATCTTTTTGGGAAGTGAGATTTCGGGAGGTTTTGCCACGAACTACAGGTTTCAAGCACTAGAAAGCGATAGAGAAAGCACTCAGGTCCCAGCCCAGCAGCACCCAGAGGATGTATTTGGAGGAGTACTACGGATGATTTATATTCATTGTTCCTCTTTTCCTTTTTCTTTTTATGTTTGTTGCTTTTTTTAAAAAAAATTAAAAAATGTAATGATGACAGGGCTATTTGGTTAACATGCGAAATTAAGATTTTAGAAATACAAGTAATATAAATTTTGTTAAGGAGACTAATCTAATTCATTTTTTTAACTACAATTAAATTGTGCAATTACACAATGTCATTGTTCTTATTTTTAGAATAAAAACATAAAGTAAGTCATGTTTTGATGAAAATATAATGTTTTAGTCCTATCTAGCAGATGTAAATATACATTATATAAATTATACAGAGTTCATTTTAAACATTTACTCCGTAGTTTTTACACATACTAAGAGCATACATTATATAAACTTGATATATGCACATTTGTCAATTACAAAGTATTCATTTTGTTTAAAAAAACCTTGACAAAAATTGTTTGCTTCGAAACTTGCAACTTGAAAGTCTTGTAAGTGCGGTGTGCATGTAACATTTTTCTGAAAAGTGTCATCAGTTTTTACCATTACAACTGATGTAATACTTTTTCATTCCAAAATAAAATTTTCATTTTTTAATGCTATTTTTACTCTCTTACAATATGAAATTTGTTCATACATTTTTTTCTTAATCTATTGAAATACATAAAACAGTGGTCCAAATAAGATTCAAACTTGTAACCTCTACTTTGGGAGAACAATAGTTATGCCATTTAATCATAAACTCTTTGACTTTCATTTTTTCCCTCTTAGATAGACCTTTTAAAATGAAATTCACATTTTTCAAATGAAAATTATACGGAGTATGATTTATCGGTAGTATTGTTTACATCAATGTGCATCATAATTTATATGTTCCATAAAAAGTATCCACTTTTTAATTTGCATGCAGATTATAGATAGTGAAATTATGTGTCAAAGTAGAAAAAAATTATCAATGCCACAAATTTTTTTTCCAAAACTGAAAAGTAAAATCTTTTTTTAAGACAGACAAAAAAGAAAATGTAATTTTTTAATGGAACGTAGGGAGTAATTAGTAAGCTGAATGGAAGTTCAATTTCCACTATTTTTAAGTGATATTTTTAAGTGACATTTGCACTAAATAATACTACAACATATGTCATTTTTTTCAATATAGTACTTAAGCTTTTTTATTCTTTAAATAATACTTAAATAATTTATAGTGACGGGAATATTGTCCAATGATGGTGGATATTTAGTTTAAACAATGTCCAAGCTGGACATTACTTGAACAATAACCAATGAACATTGAACAGCAATACTACATTCAAAAATAAAAACATATAGTACTACATTGGAAAAGTCACTATCTTTTAGTATTATTTAGATAAACTTCCCTATTTTTAATACTCCGTAAATTTTTTTTAATATACATAACTCATACCAATAAATTATAACTACTCGGTATATCTTGGAGTCAAGTAAGATTATTAAAAGTCTCACAAACTAGAGATCACATGTTTGATCCCCCATAAAAGTTGCGTGCATGTGTTTGAACTCTAATGGCATGTGAGTTGGATTCTTACTAGAAACATAATCAATTTTGATAATTTTATGCTCCTTCATTTTTCTCCCATTTGATTTTTTTTTAATCAAACTGTTAACACTATTTTTTACTCCCTCCGTCTCAAATTGTAATGCCTGTTTACTATTCACAGGGTCAAACTTCATTCACTTTCAGTCTCTATTTTTGTTAGCAATTTGATAAAATAAAATATTATTGTCACTACTAGTTTTGTAGATCTTTTGATGTAGTTTTTTAATATCTAATTTTTATTTTTTAATTCTATACCATTTGTCATATAAAATGGTTTGAAAATAATTTCAGTCAAACATTGTAAACCGAAACGGGCGTTATAAATTGGAACGGAGGTAGTAATATATATATATATATATATATATATATATATATGTATATATATTAATACACGTATGGATGTAATATTTTGAAACCATGATAACTTTAGAAATCTTCCTATTTACAACAGCAGCAGCAAAAGTTTCCCGCTCACTTGTGCAATTAGAATACGACGTCGGTTAGGATATGTGTATTAAAAAACTGCAGCCCAAGTCCTAAACTCCTAACCAGTAACCACCCACTAAACCCATCACAGGGTAATAATCAATCTGGCGATGGACGGTATCGACCGGAAGGAAGCATAGAAGACAGAGAGAAGGGAGCAACTGGAGAAAGAAGGAGAAGGTGGAGGTTGTCGTTGCGAGAGTACTGTTCATCATCTTCTTCAACTTTGACGCAGCGGCTATGGTACCTCTGAATTTCATCAATTTCTTCATACATCTTTTCGGTTTCAATCCAGGATGTTCTTTTCGAGCGGGAACTCCAGCATCCTCTTCCGTAACCGTGTGTTAATGGGGACTATTTAATAGGTGACTGTTTGTAGATACGACATCAATGGAGAAAGGGGGATGATCTGGAGAATACATAGACGACATCGACGATTTTATTTGCGCCTATTTCTTTGGCATCATCGATCTGTGATTTATAGATGCAGACGACACCGATGTCCGTTTCTATAGCCCGTAGATCTGTGCTCCAACATAGCCAGATTCTATGGTCCATTTCTATCATTCACAATGAATTGCAGATGCCGACAACCTCAATGAAGAAGACACGGCAACCACCGGCTACCTCAGGTGTGTCTCAATTGTTTTTTCATTAGTTAATTCTATCTCATACTCAAGATTTGGCCGTGGTTTGCCAATTGATTTCACCGCAGGGTTTTTTTTAATCATCAACATTTTCAGTTTAACTTCTAGCATGAAAGAGTTTAATCTTAATATTGAGTGCATTCTTGGCATTGTAGTTTCACTCTTGAATCAGTATTACAAGAGTATTTCAAGGCCAGTGATATTAAGGTATCATTATTATTTTTTTAATTCCAATACTTCATTAGCTGCACCCATAGAGACAAAAAAACCTTCTTGCTGCTACTGGTGAACCCTAAACTCACTGGGGGTGGAAGTTATATT